ATCCAGGGTAAATTAAACCGCTTGGGGATCTTTCCTTCCGTTAGTTTGTAGGTTTTAATATTACTTGCTGAATTTTTTGCCGTTTGAAAAGAGCTATATATAAAATTTAGAATCTCGTCTGGGGAATTCATATCCTTAGATTTTGACCAATCCACATTATTAAGTTCCTTATAAAAAATTTCGCAATCAGTTGTTTTGTTACAGTCTGTGAACGCTCGAGCAATATAGGTGCGTCATCTACGCACGCAAAAATAATACCTCGATGATCGGCTAGTACAACATCGAGCACTGCCGAGAATTGATGTAGGGTGGGAAATGGGGCAAAGATGTGGTCTTAGCGAGATTTAGTAATTATATTTTGTTTACTTTCAGTTCTTGTGTATTCTGATATTCCACACAGCAATCCGTGCTCGCTGAGTGCTTCTACATATGCATTCTTGTACGATGTTGAAGTTTTTAGATCTATGTTAGTGTCACCGATTAAAAGGAAGTTCTGTTTCAATTCAAACTTAGAAATATAATTGCTTATTTCACTTAAGAGAAAGATTTTTATTTGTAGATGGTGGTCTATAAACTGACAACTATATTTAGTGACGAACTAAGTTTTATTATGCCCGAAAGACTTTCAAACGTTTTAGTATTACATTGAATTGTGGTAAATTTAAGGTGGCTTCGTACGTAAATTATAATTCCGCCTCCCTTCTTATTTTCACGTAGATGTGTATGCAAATTATAGCCGGGTAATGTGTATAAATTAACAATATTGTTCGAGATACCAGCCTCCGTTATAACTTTGGTGGATTTTTGATGATTGGATAGGTACAGTCATGGATTAGGTATGGTAGTCTATTAATTTTTTTATAAGTGATCTAATATTAAATTGTATACATGAGAAGTTCATAAAACTTTTAGGAAACAATTGTTGAAAGAATTGATTAGGAATTTTACAGTTAGTAATTTCAGTTACTAGTGTATCCATTTTATTTAAATTTATTGACTAATGAATAAACATGGGTATAGATGAGAACTTTACAATATTGTGGATGAGGGTGATCCGGATTGTTTATCAGAAAGAGATGAACTTATTTTTATAATTTCATTGATGTCATGCATAGTGCGAATATAATAAATTTTACTATTGTCAGTTTTTCGAGCACATACCTTCCCATTTTTACACCATACATACTTACATGAGTTATGTAATAGCTGCGACTTAGCATTAAATAGAAGTGTTTTCTGATACTTTGTTAGGTCTTCTCTTATAAAAATGCGTTCATCAGCCTTCTCTTTTGAAATGTTTTGCACTATCATCCCTGCGGTGAGACACTTGTCCTTGCTAGCATCTATCCATTATTGCTGCGAGATCTTAGACTTCAGCTCTACAAGAACTGATCCCGGTTTGTCCTTTGACCCTTATAACCGATGAGCTGACTGCACATCCTTTTTATCAACGTCCAATTTAGCGGCAACAGTATCAGTTATTGTATTTACCTCGCTGGGCATTTCCACTGGTAATCCGGCAATTTCCAGCGAAGTAGAGAGAGTTTTTTGTTCAAAATCTCTTAGTGTTTGTTCTAAAGTAGATACCCGCAGTTCCAAATTCTTGTTTTTGTTCACTAAGTCATAATTCTTATTTTCAAGTTCTTTGATTCTAGTGTCTTGTTTTTTTATTGATTGATCCATAGTGGAAAGTGGTTCACTTAGAAAATCGAGTGAGCTCTCAAGATTCCCGATCTCCTCACGAAATGTCTTTTTTATCTCGCGATTGATGTCTTGTACCAACTTTCTCGCATCTATAACTTGCGCATTTCCCGTGTTTCCAGTGTCGCAGTTTTCATCATCGCCATCAGCGTCGGGTATCACGAAAGATGACCTACGAGAAATTTTCCTTAGGCACTCTTCACAACTCCACTCTATGCCGGATGAATTCTTGAGGGTGTTTAACTGTTTATTGGATAACTTTGATCAGACAAGATCGGCGTGAACTATTTGATCGCATCTACTGCATTCTAGTCCAGGCACTTTTTTGGTGATGTTTTTCTTACATTTAGCACACTTTTTGACAACCATTTTAGATTACGGGTGGGTACAACTTTAATCGCTAATCGTCAATCGTCACGTCGGTGTCCAATTTGTAAACTGATGAAGTAATGGAATTGAAATAAGAAAAAAAGATTCAAACGAAAATAACCCTAATAATTTAAAATTTCCGGAGAAAATTTAACAAACATATATGACAACCAATCACCATGACAACCAATATTCCTGCACCAGTGAGCATATTATGGTAAATTAGCATCACAGTTACCGATTTTATTGATGCCGGCGAAGATCACAACCGATTTATCAGGGCACCACATAGCTTAGACTAAAAGGATATACGGAATAGTATTTTACAAGGTAGAACCCACTTTTTGCTTTAAGTTCCGTCCGAATTAGTACCACTTTCTGACCTAATTCTGCTACACAACATTGGCTGCAGCATTGCACTTAATGTTGGGTTCTGAAATGAACGATCTTAGAGTAAGTAGAAAGGGAGAAATAATATAGACGTTCGTCATTAGATTTCAAGAGTGCAGCCTCTTTGTTTGAAGGGGTCTCATTATTTATTCATTCCAGCCTATTAAAAGTGCACTCCTGAAAATTATTTTCCCCATAGATTGTTTCAGCTGCCACGCTTGAGTTGGCGACTGCAGCTTTTAATTGTTTTGAGCTCTGCTACTGCCCATCTTTTTCAGTTCTGTTTCAGTTTCCATACTAAAAATATATTTATATATGGTACAGCCTTGCTGCAGCTATATGGTTTGCAGAACGCATGAGTCGGCTCAACCGGAGAATTACCACGCTCTCACAGAATACCAGCGTGTAATGCAGCTCAATGTTGCTGTGTTTTATATGGAGAGTCTAGAGAACCGAAGACCCATTTTACTGAAGACGAGGCATTCTATCTTAGTCCTGAGGGATAGCAACGCATCTACATCTTCATACTTAATCGAGGATTGATGTAGATGTCAATGAGTCACGTTGAATCTATGTTTTATACGTGGTAGAGCCATGCTGCAGCTATATTAACTGTATATTTGTAGCACGAATGGGTCGGCTCAACCGGGGAAGGACCACGCTCTCACAGAATACCAGCTAATAGTAGGTTAATGCTGCTGTATTTCGTATGGTGTGTGTAGAGAACCAGAGACCATTTTTACTGGAAACGAGGCACTCCATCTTAGTCCTCACGGGTGACCACGCATCTGCATTAATTTGGTTTTGTAATCGAGGATATATGTAGATGTCTATGGGCCGCAGCAACCACTTACCATCAGGTGGAATGTATGCTCGTTTGTTACTCAATTCTATAAAAAAAAGAGTCACAGCATCTACTTACCATCAGGTGGAATGTGTGCTCGTTTATTACCCCTATTTTATAAAAAAATATATATTACCTCTTGCAACACATATGTAGGATATGGAGTAATGGATTATCTTACGCCAATACTACAAGACCAAAAGTTTTTCAAATAATTTTCAAACAAAATTTTTGGTTTCATTCCAGCACAGATACGTTGAGTACATGAAGTTACAGTCCGATGAAGCTATTAAAGCCAATATAACAGCACTAACGTTACAGAAAATTAGTGAAACATGCTTTGTTTTAAAATAAAATTTTACTTCTGGCAAGTTTGATGGGATTATATTATAAAAAAATATTTTGTGAATAAAATCTTGTATGATCAATCATCAGCATGACGACTCTTTCTGCGTGTCGTAAATTTGGATAAAGAGAAAAGACAAAAATCTCGCGGTTTGCTAAGATAGGTTTATTTAGATTTAGATTATTATTTTAAAAACGTCTCTACAAAAAAAAGTCTAGACTGTAGTCGGTGAGCAGTTGTTCTAAATTGTTAAATATTGAGTCTTTTACTGCAATTATCAAAGGCAGCATAAAAAAATTGGGTGCAGTTTACGAGATATGTATAGTTATTGTTAATACGCAAGATCACTATAAAAACTAGCTGCAGGTAATAAACTCAACCATCCGGTGTCTTGTGTTTACCAAAAAAAAAAAGAAATGTCGTATAAGTTCGACGTAGAAATTATCTAATGTTTTTTTTTTAGTCTGCTACCGGTGGTAAATGGTGAAAGATACTACTGCGAAATAGTAGAATTTGATTATTTTAATTTATTAAAACTGTTTCATCACTAAAGCGTTGTAGTTTGTTCTAACCGATTATTCCGTTACGTAATATACAATGACGGTAAGAAAATTACCTTGCCCTACCAAAATAAAACATTAAAGCAAGTTTTAGAAGCTAAGTATTGGTGTTAATGTGTTTAGCAGAACGAGCAACTGAATTGCATCACAGCGTTCGCGTCGCTTCGTCGCGTACGTTACGAGATGTAAAACAGACAAAATGACCTGCCTACATAGTCTTTAATAATATATTTTTACTTTAACCTTACGCAGGAGAAAAAGTTCTTTTTCTAGTAGAATACACTAAAACATACAACGTTAATATTGGTACTTACCATGTGTTATGACTGCTTTTTTGTAGTCAAGTAGTCGCAGCCGCGAAGTTTTGAATTTCGGATCAGGACAATAGTGGTGTTTCACCTATGTTTCTTAGAGATAGCTCATAAGGCCGTTGGTCCTGGGCCTGATCTCTCGCTGGTCGTGTCTTTGCCGTCTCAACAGACTCTGAAAGTGAGAGTAAAGAGAGTGCACTAGTACACTATAATCTCCGTTGAAGCTGGCTGCCGTGACGGAAAATATTTTTTATTATTATTATAACTAAGTGTTAATAATAAATTATGTGTTATAAATTATAGAAAGTAATGCTTACCAGCATGAATTTTCTCAATGCTCCACATCAAATAAGTCGTGATACCTAAATAACTCAAGATCTCTGAAGGAGTCTCGTGTTCGGTAGTATACTTACTTAAAATAAAATAAAACCGAGAGACAATTATTATTAATTTCAACTGATTCTTCATTTTTTACAGTTATGGCTGCCGCGATGACTGTTAGAGAGTTTTACAACGGCAAGAATGTACTACTTACTGGCGGCACTGGATTCATGGGAAAAGTCCTCATCGAGAAGCTTCTGTACTCTATCCCTGACATAGGTCTTATCTATGTATTAATAAGACCCAAACGAGGCATGTCAGTGAAACAACGTTTAGAAGAAATGTTGAAGTTACCGGTAAGCGTCTGGGACTACGAATATCTTCACAAGAATTTTATCAACTTCATTTTCATTAGATTTTATCATCATTTAATTTATTTGCGTTAAAATTATCCCAAATACTTCAATTAGTACAAAGTATCGAGTTCGAAATTTCAATCTGAAATTTTATTACAACATTCATAGCTAAATATGGCCTCCCCCCCACAAATTGCCTTATAGGGGAGATATTTGCCGTAGTTGCTTGCTTGGCAGGTAGGTTTATAGAATAAGGGTGACAAGCGAGCACACTGTCTACCTGATGGTAAGTGAATGCTGTGGCCCATAGATTTAACCTCGATTAAGAATCAAAATGCAGATGCGTTGTCACCCTGAAAACTAACAGTGAATGCCTCGATTCCAGTAAAACGGGTCTCCGGTTCGCTACCCTAACCATATGAAACAGCAGCATTAAGCTGCTATTATACGCTGGTATTCTGTGAGAGCGTGGTCCTTTCCCGGTCGAGCCGATCCATTTGTGCTACAACCATAATATAGCTGCGGAGTGACTCTACCACATATAAAAGGTTGACAAAAGCAGTTTTTTTTTTATTATTTTAGATTGTTATCAGGAAGATACTCTCGCCCATCTGCAATTTCAAGTCGCCTCTTCGGTACCCAGGAGATGATATAGTATATACATAGTTGAAAAAATTAAGATTTTTTTTCTTTCTTGTTTCTTAATTCTTAATATGCTAATATTTTATTGCGATTATTCCTTTCTGCGCCGAGGACATGAACAGCATATAAAATTTGTATACGTGGTAGAGCCATGCTGCAGTTATATTAGTAGTATAGTTGTAGCACGAATGGGTCGGCACAACCGGGGAAGAACCACGCTCTCACAGAATACCAGCGTGAGATAGTAGCTTAATACTGCTGTGTTTCGTATGGTGAGTGTAGAGAACCGGAGACCCTTTTTACTGGAAACGAGACATTTCATCTTAGTCCTCACGGGTGACATTGCATATGCATTTTGATTTGTAATCGAGGATAGATGTCGATGTCTATGGGCCGCAGCAACCACTTACCATCAGGTGGACTGTGTGCTCGTTTGTCACCCTATCCTATAAAAAAAATTGCAATTAACACCTTCTTTGATGCTTAAGAGTAACGTATTCGCGCTACTTGTGTATTGGGAAACTTTAATGCAATAATTACCAAATAAAAATGTTTTATTTAATACAAAAAGTTTTGACTCAATCAATTTTTATAATATTATGCCATTCTACAAAAAAAAACTGAGTATAAAGTAGCTTTCCGATAATTAACTAGTTACCCAAAGAACACGATTACAAATCCAGTATACAAGCGTGCTACGCCGAACAAAGTCGCAGGTAAAAGCTAGTTGTATATAAATCTTGCAAAGAAAAACGTCTATGTAAAATTCAAAGTGTAGTAGGTATTACTTAAACATTAAATTATTTTTTGTAAATAAATTATTTAATAAACAATTTATTTACAAAAAAATTGAGAAAGAAATTGGGGCTTTAGAACTAAACCTAATGAATAATGTATGTGTGATTCTCACACCTAGTCTGCAAAACCTAATAACTCAGCGTTGCATTTAATTAAAGCAGCCTTACACATCTCTAATATATAGGTATATCCTGTTAATACTTACGCAAGCATAAACGTACCTACGCTGCACAACTGTCTTTAGCACGACTCTAGGGCCTTCCCTTCTAACTGGCTTCAGCGAAACAGGTTAACCAAGTAAGGCTGAAGATACCGTTACCGAGAATTATTGCATACTGCAACACACATGATATTATATTAACAAATATTGTTAATATAATACAATGTATATTGTCAATAATCCGTCTTTATTGCACTCTGAATGCTGAATAACTAATCATTTCAGTATTAACAATGTAGTTTAAAATTATTGGTTATTGGATGTAAATCTTAACATTTATATTACATATATGTATACGTCGTTCTAAACTTTATATGTATTAGTTATAAGTACCTGGATGACCGAGCTTTGCTCGGCTTTTTTTGAAATTACATTTAGATACAAATTACATACGAATGAAACATGAATAATATTTTTGATCTTAGAATAGAAAAAACTGAACTGGTTATTTGAATAAAAAAGCATGAGTGCAATTAGTTTTATTAGATTAGAGTTATTAGATCTTTTCACAAAAGAAGGAAACTTGAACAAAAAAAAAAGGAAAAAGTCGGACCGAAGACAGGACGCAAACGAAGGCATTACGATTTCGCGACCGCTCGATATCCACTTGAGTTATTACGATCATTAACTCAAAATTTACCTTTTTATATTATAGCAGTTTTTCACTGTATGAAAACACGGACAAAAAGACATTATCTAAAAATAAATCCTAGCTAGATCGATTTATTGCCCCCGAAACTTACTGGACACTACATTTTATGAAAATCGTTGGAGCCGTTTCCGAGATTCCAATTATATATATAAAAGAATTGCTCGTTTATAGGTATAGGCGTTTATTGCCTCCGAAACTCCCTGGATACTAAATTTTATGAAAATCGTTGGAGCCGTTTCCGAGATTCCGATTATATATATACAAGAATTGCTTGTTTAAATATATAGGATATGCATGTGTCTTACGGTCGAATAATGTAAAACATGAATAAAGTAGAATACAATGGAATATTTTTTTGTTCAAATTAGATAACATGTAATTCTTAATGAAAGCCATTTTTAACGTTTACTGTCATACTAAGACAAATTTTCTTCGCCTTCGCGAAACTTATCGTTGTAATTTATTCTACGCAGCTGGTAAATCTTAATATATATAAATTACGTGTCACGTTGTTTGTCCGCGATGGACTCCTAAACTACTTAACCGATTTTAATCAAATTTGCACACAGTGTGCAGTTTGGTCCAACTTGAGAGATAGGATAGTTTTTTAGTCCATGAGTGAGCCACAATTTTTTTTTGCGAATTTAAGGATTTTATATAGGACAAAGGGTCGTCGAAAAGGGCAGAACAACGTCTGTCTGCCAAGCTAGTCTTAATATTTATAAATTACGTGTCACGTTGTTTGTCCGCAATGGACTCCTAAACTACTTAACCGATTTTAATCAAATTTGCACACCGTTTGCAGTTTGGTCCAACTTGAGAGATAGTATAGTTGTTTTGCCCATGAGTGACCCGCAATTTTTTTGCGAATTTAAGGATTTTTAACAGGACATGACAAAGGGTCGTCGAAAAGGGCAGAAAAACGTCTGCCTGGCAAGCTAGTAATATGATAAAACTAGGGATAAATAAAAAGAGCAGTGGAGTTAAAACCAATATTTTATTTTATTTTGCTCAATATTATTAAAGCTATAATTTACACTAAGTATATTATAATAGATTCAATTAACTGACAAAAACCAATCGATAGACACTCACTCAATATATCATACGGCTTAAAATTCGAGCACTGTTATTGGAACATTTAAAATTTAAGCACATTTAATAAACTAAGTTTAAACTCTTTATTTAATTATAATGAATCATCGAAAAAATAATTTTATACCTTTGTATATTATACATTTCTTTTTTTATTTTCGTATGAGTAAATAATTATGAAATGGATGAGCGCAATAAAAATTATAATTTTCCAGTTGTTCGACAGAATCAAAAACGAATGCCCAAATGTTTTAAAGAAACTGAAACCGTTGCAAGGTGATGTCTTATTAGAAAACTTTGGGCTGGTGGACTCCGAAATTGAACGTTTATCGAAAGAAATTTCTGTGGTGTTCCATTTTGCCGCTACGTTGAAACTTGAAGCCCCTTTGAAAGACAATGTAAACATGAACACCTGTGGCACGTTACGTACCATAAATGTCGCTAGAAGGCTTAAGAATCTACTCGCTATTGTCCATCTTTCGACTGCTTTCTGCTATCCTGATTATGAAGTTTTAGAAGAAAAGGTAAGTGTTATTGAATTTTAGTATTAATTTTATCATCTACACTATATTTTAAATACAATTTATATCTGCTAAGTAATTATTATTAGACAAGGCATCGTAATATGCGCAAAAGCTAAATGGTCAGATACGTGATTGGTACATTTTTTGCACACACATATATATACTATTTTGATTCGGAGTTTTGTTGTGATTGTACCCCTGTGTCTCTGACACTTGTATTAGTTGCAGTGTATTCGATTATATTCGATACATTCGATTCTATCTACTCGTATATAATAATATTTAGTATTAATTAAAACTGCTTTTGCGGATTTAATCGCATTTAATTTAATGTTTTATTTTTCTAAGTCATGTAAACCAGTACGGACTGGAAATAAATCAATATTTAGTATGTTAATTTAAAATTATAGATGCACGCACCCCCTGTTAAAGCAGAAGATGTGATGCGGCTAATCGAATGGATGGATGACAAGCAACTCTCTGTCGTCACACCGACGTTGTTCGGCGCACAACCAAACAGCTACACATTCTCCAAGCGGCTTGCCGAGTGTGTAGTGGCCCAAAACTTCGATGATCTTCCAGTTGTTATAGTGCGGCCTAGCATAGGTAAAATCTATTATGTAAATAACTATGGACTTAGAAAGGCCATTTATTGTATGTACAGTACTGTTTTCCACCAACATTTTCCTCGTTTATATGTTTGTAAATCCTCTTCCTTCATTTATCCTTAACTTACAATAAATCATGTTTTACAACTACGCTGGTAACAAGCTGGTAAAAAGATGATGAGTAATTATAAATGCAAGAGTAGAATAATTTTCCGGTTATTAAAACAATTTTGGCTTATATGTTGATTGAACATATCTTTCAATTACAAAAAGTAAAGAAATAGAATTATATTCTGGATGACCTTGTTGTTTTGTTGTCAAAGAACCTGCTAATTGCGTTGTGAACCGGAGTTTGCTTGTATCCCAGTCAAAGACTAAGTTTGTTCAAAAAATAAAGATCAAATAAAAAGTAAATAAAGAACAAAATGGAAGCGGTTTGTGAGTTCTTATATGGTGTATAATTTTAGCAACCTCCAATCATTTCGCAATAGTAATACGTTCTATGCTGTTAAAAGATTCCAAACTTATTGAAAGATACTAGCCGGCACATAGTCGAAATGAACCGATCAACATAAATCACCATATCATATTTACTTCGCAGTGTGTCCAGCTATACTCGAACCTATACCTGGCTGGGTCGATAGTTTGAATGGACCGGTGGGTCTAATGCTGGGCGCCGGTAAAGGCGTCATCCGAAGCATGCTCTGCGACGGCAGTCTAATCGCTCAAGTGATCCCAGTAGACACTGCTATTAACGCTATTATCGCTATAGGAATGTTGGAAGGAAGTAGGACTGAGAAGTGAGTGATAGTATTTACGAGTTCTTAAAAACATCCTCTACTGTCATGCTATGCCTGTAATTGTTTCTATATCTAATAAATACTAGAAAGCGCGTCTGTGTTATGTCGCAACAATCATCACTTATTAGTAGATACATTATCATCATCATCATTACAGCCCATCATAATTCTACTGCTGAATATAGGCTTTTCCTAAGGAATGTCACAAAACACGGTCGGGTGCCACTTGCAACCAACGACTTGTATGTCGTCACTCAATCTATTAGGGGTGACATTGATTTGCTTACCTACCTACCGGCACAAAGCTGCCACTCGAGAATTTTATTAGCAATATTTTGAATCGAGAATTTCACTAGAATTACTTTACCTACGAATATATAAAAATGACTATTCCCTCGATTTTTCGTTGTCATTTTGCGAATTAAAGCGGCAATTAAAATTCGACGGAAAGATTTTGATACAATAATGCCAAATAGCCTGTTGCGTAAATAGTGGTCCACCGTTAAGAATTCAATAAAACGGATAATTTAATATAATAATTATAAACATTTTTATCCAAGGGTTCCCGTTTTTTTATATTTCTTTGTTATTTTTTTAAGAATTTGCTTACTTTTGTTACCAATTTGGTATAGTTTCATCAAAAATATTATTTTGCACTTTTGATTTTTTAATTATATATATCATAGCTAAAACTTTCAATTAGTAACAAAAATAGCAAAAATATTATGACATATTTATCTACCTTCTTATTCTTTATTTATTCAACTTTTTATAAAACCAAATTCAAAAGTTTTTTGTTTCTTTGTCGACTTTTGCAGGCGTAACGACGTAGTATTAATCACTACAGTTAAGCTCTATTTTTATGACATCTATGTGGTTTGTTTAATGTAGAAACATTGAATTTTAAGTTAAGAGAAACCGATTAGGTGTCATTTCTTGTAACTGTACATTCTAGTTTAAAATATTATTTTTTTAAGTTTTTAATTGCAATTATCGTTTGGTGGCTACATGCTTGAAGGGCTTTCTCATCTCATTAAATTTGATTAATTTGTGTATGATGTGTGGTTAATTTCAAATTGAACCAAACATAAATTTATCGTTAAACTAAATTATCGAATTGATATTGTTTTAATAACATAACAGAGACAGAAACAGAAACAGAAACTTTTTTATTCGATGTAGATTATAAACAATACTTATTGAAAGTCAATTTTTTCATATAGGTACCACTGGTTCGCAAAAAAACCTCTGTCCTGGGAAGAACTAGCAAGAAACCCAGTGGGACTATTTTTTTTCAATCGTCTTTTTAACCGTCCTTTTTACAAATCATTCAGGTTGATATAACAGAATGAGATAGATTGAGAATGCTATAAATGAGAATATATGTTTTTAGGCCCGCTGAAATCCCCATTTACAATGTGAACATCGGACATCAAAAACCCACGACGTGGGGTGAAGTTCTTAATATTGCCAAGATTTACGGTCGTAAACAACCGCTTGCTTGGCCGCTGTGGTATCCCAATGGAGATATCACCACCAGCCGAACTCTGCACAATTTTCAGCGTGTTTTCTACCATTTACTACCAGCTTACGCCATCGATTTTTTACTGATGATTCTCGGACAAAAACGCTTGTGAGTTTTAATTCTACTTGTCTCTATATATAAAATTTGCTTTTCAATTTTGCTGTCCAATAGTCTTGCTAAAACTCGGAAACGACTCGAACAAATTTGAGGATATTTTTGTGTGTTTGGGTGGGTGATGGGTCCCTGGATGAAATAAACGATTCACAATTGGACCAGGTAGATGGCGCTGTTGTCGAGATTCAGAAATCACCCGTGCAGAGCCGGGGCGGATCGCTATAAAAATGTAAAATATAAAAATGTTGTATGCTGGGTCACTGATAATATATTTTTACCATTTTTGTTATCAGAAAGCCCCATCTGCATTTTCTTATAGGATAGGGTGACAAGCAGTACGCAGTCCACCTGATGATAAGTGGTTGCTGTGGCCCATAGATATACATCGATCCTCGATTACGAATCAAAATGCAGGTGGGTTGTCACCCGTGAGAACTAAGATGGAATGCCCCGTTTCCAGTAAAATAGGTATCCGGTTCTTTACACTCACCCTACGAAATACGGAAGCGTTGAGGTACTATTTTACGCTGGTATATTCTGTGAGAGCGTGGTCCTTCCCCGGTCGAGCCAACCCATTCGTGCTACAACTATACTACTAATATAGTTGCAGCATGGCTCTACCACGCAAAAATATCTCCATTTGATTTCCCCCTATCACCTCTTACGATACCCACGCGATGATATGGGTTAATTGATATGTTTACTATACGATTGTACGGGTAATGTTATTTATTTGCAATTTTCTACCTTATGATAATAATACTATTGATTATATGGTATAATTATTACAATGATAATATAGAAAATATTGTAACACTTTCATTATTATAATATTAACATTACCGCGGTCGACAGCCGCCATTGGGCTAATATGTGCCTTAAGCCAAGCATTTAGTAATACTACGTTTAGTATTCGCTTAAAATAAACAATGGAAAAAAGTGTTGAGTTGCCTAAAACACATTACTTTTAAATTGTATGTAAGCAGTACAAAAATTGGTATTTACTACTAATTACAATGGTCGGCAGCCGCCATTGGGCTAATATGTGCCTTAAGCCAAGCATTTAGTAATACTACGTTTAGTATTCGCTTAAAATAAACAATGGAAAAAAGTGTTGAGTTGCCTAAAACACATTGCTTTTAAATTGTATGTAAGCAGTACAAAAATTGGTACTTACTACTAATTAAATACAAGTGTAACATCTGTTATTTTTATTGTTAATCCTATGTTACAGCATGGTAAGAGTACAAAATAAAGTCAGCCAGGGCTTAGAAGTGCTTCAATACTTTACTATGAGGTCTTGGGTGTTCCCGTGTCCAAATTATGAAAGCATTCATAAGAAGCTTAACGAGGAAGAACGCGTAATTTTCAACACAGACTTATCTACAGTAGATCGTGAGAAGTATATCGAAAATTGCGTGGAGGGTGGACGCGTATTCTGCGTTAAGGAGGACCCTTCTAATATACCATACAACAGAATGTACCATAATTTGTAAGTATACATTTTACACAGTCTGCTTATGTAAGGAATGGGAAAGGGAATAGACCAAAGATAATATAATCACTGCGTTTAGAGTAGACAGTATACATGTCAATTTAAATACTTTTACGATCTGCGAAAGCGACATTTTACAATAGAAAAACAAAATTATTACCATAGAATAGTTTCCAAGGCAATAAGATCCTTTAAAGTCCCAATTTCTTCTAATGATATTATGTTGAAATTATTTTATTAAGTTTAATTTTTTGAACCTTATGAGTGAACTAAGGAAAACTAGAAGGTTGTCTAAACTTATACGAGTCTACCCCTGAGGATAACAAGATATCGTTTTTCATGTCGAGTAATATTGACTTTTGTTTTCTTTTGCTGATCAATCAGCCTAAATTAATATTATAGCGGTGGCGGTACACGATCGATCGATTCGGTGACACGATCCTGGCATCTCTCGCCTCTTTACATCCATATATCTACGCAAACATTCTCGTCGGTTAAGGGTACTCTTAACCTAGCCCATCTTCAATATTAACTTTTGTCTAGGACGTCTCTTCCCGACTGTGTCATTCACTTCTGCAACATATATTTGATTTGTTACTCTATTAATTCCACGAAAATGACAATTATCTCAGTTTGCTAGAGGTCAGTATCCATCAGAACACTACCACCATTGAGCACAGTCCGTTACACGATGGGCGTGGTGCCTGAAAAACGAGCACTTGGAATCTTATCGGCGAAACTGGCCTTTGGCTCCCTCGCCGACTACATTTCGACCGCGGAGGATATAGATACCCTCTTATCACCGCATTCGCACTGTGGCCCCGACCGAGTAGCGAAGGATCTAATGAGAGGCGCGTCGCCATACCAACACTGCAGTTCCTTCGCGAGTTCACTTCGACTGCGTCAGTAGGGGGAGGGGACAACCCTCTCGCCGCAGTCCACCAACATACATCTCAAGTGGGCGGGTCAAGCCCACACCGAGTAGCTACTTCGGGCAAGCTATGTGGGTTTTTCTTAGTTTAGCGTAACCAAACAATGGCTGCTAAGTCCTCCCCTTGCCATGACAAGGCGGAAACTCGTTTAGAGGGAGTTAAGACATGATAAGTCTACCAACTTGACTTTTATAATAATCAAACCTCTCTTTAATTCTCTTTTTCAGCTTGTACGTCGTCGACTGGATTGTGAAGATCTTTTTCTGGCTCCTGGTTCTTTCATTCTTGGCAGCATGGTTCGAACCAGTGAAGACCTTGCTGTCATACGGCGGGCCTGTCGTGAAACACTTACCGTTCGTGGGTCGCGCGGTTTTTAACGAAAAAAACTGAAGACCGTCGGAGATTTTAATGTTCATAACTATAAAATTAATCCTAAATGAGCTCGTGTCTATTTTAGTCACGTTATACAAAAATATTATATACTTTCAAATTAAGGATGTCTCGAACTTTATCCATTCTTTTTTCAATGTGACCTTTAATGTTGTGGTTAGTTCACAACAATTCTGTCAATTTATGTTCTTTGGTCTGTTACGTGTTGTTTTAAAGGTTCTCCTTGATGGGAAAGGAGTTAGCGGTTTTTAGGTGACAATATGGCTAAAAACAAAACACATATAAATATAGAGTTATAGATATACAAATATATACAATACAGAACAAACATCTAATTGTGAAATTGGATTAGCCTAAGCAGGGATTAGTGCATTAGCTTAAACAAAGTTATAATAATTATAATTTAATAATGGACAATGGAATATACTTTGAGATCATATTAACATAATGTAATACGAAATCAGGGAGATAGGTACCACATTATACGGGATCATAAAAATATCATTTATCACTATATACCTGCAGCAAAATATTTTTCGATTAATTAAAAATAATTCTACCTATTAAAAAATTTATTTACACGTATTGCCTTTTTAAGCTTTATAATTAAATTACTTCATATTTAGTTATTTTTAATAATTACATATTATACTATAGTTTTATTATATCAGCAAAATTAAATTCCAGTGGAAAGGGATAGCTTAAGATGTTACAAAAAATATAAATGTTTAAAGAGTATACTGGTTGATCTATAAGTTTTTGGAAACGCAATGAAACTCTAAGTATACCTATGTAAATAGTATTTTATAAACTCCTTTTAATCTAAAACACTCTGAATAGCTTTTACAAGGTGGTTAATTCCCTTGAAAAAAAAGGCTATATCCTGGGACTCGAAAACGGCTTCTGCAGCACACATCACCTCATCGTCACCGTCGAATTTTATACCACACATGTGCTTTTTAGGTGAGTAAAAAGGTGAAAATCTTTCGGAACTAGGTCGGGAGAATATGGTGGGTGCTGCATCAACTGAAACCCAGCAGTTCGGATGGTAGCGTCTGCAACATCAATCAATGAGCAGGGGCAATAACATGATAAAAGTACTCTAGCAGGCAAATTTCCTCCACGTTTATTCTTTATTTATTTATTTATTTAACTTCATATATACATTAAATGTATATAGGTGGACTTAATGCCTGAGGCATCGTCTACCAGTCTACCTTAGAGTAGTGCAGAGATAAAAGAGATAGGTGTAATAAGAAGTATGTACAGCAATTAATATTCACACATATATATAATAAAAAAAAAAAAAAAAAAAATATATATATATATACTCATATTCTTTCGTTCTTCACGTAGTTTTTTGACTAATGATGGGTAATAATCTCCGGTTATTGATTCACCTTTGCTTAAATAGTCGATCATTACTATACCTTCCACATCCCAGAAGGAGAGTTTAAGAGTTTTTTAGCGGACACAGATGCATACTTTGAATCTCTTGGCTGGCGGGGAAGACGGTCTTTTCCACACCTTGCTTTGATTTTTCGTCTCCGGGTCAAAATGTTGTACCCACGTTCGTATCTACGGTTATGAAACGAGCAAAAAAGAATCTAAATCTTCTTCAATTCATTCACAATCAAACATTCTAGGAACTTAGCGCGCAGCCACCTTTTTAACTTTAATACATGAGTTAAAATAAACTGAATTATCCCAACCGAAAGCTTTAGAATTTCAGCTTAGTAACGGTCAAGTAGTTTAATAGTCACACGTCGATCTACCCTAAAAATTTCTTGGATTTTTTTAGCTTTTTCTGGCGTAGCCCGGAACGATTGTCGGCGTTGCAGGCGGTTCTGCCGCGTTTAAATATTAATTTTTAAATTTTATTTAGAAAACTGGGCAACAGTATGCCAATGTAGAATAACATGGAGCATTGTCTGCCAAAGTACTCACGAAGTTCGAGTTTCTCCATTTTGCATATGAATCAAATTCACGCCAAATGTGAAGAATGAAAAAAATTACGGTAGTTTATAATTTAATTTTTTTAAATATAATGCATTTCTACATCTTATTGATAAGTATTTTCCGAAAACTTATTGATAACCTTATAATATAACATGATGGGTAAATTTATTTTCATACATACAGAAAATGCTCATTTTAATGTAGGAATAACATTTTAAACATAATTAAGTGATGATTGAGTTGTAGGACCAGCCATTTCAGACTTCTATCTATTGCCAAAGAAAACTTTGACCAAGATTTTTATTTTTAAATTTTAACATCAGATTTGAGGATGTTCTGCTATTGATACACTTTTTTCTGTGTTTGTAATACAATTTTGGGTGTTTATAAGTTAGGTTCTTCAAAAATATTTCGAAGAAGAAGACATAATATAATTATTATAGTCAATATAGTTCGTAGGATAAGCCACTATAGTATGAATAGTGCTTTGCTTTATATCTTGTATGTTATGTTAAGTTGTTTAACATTATAATAAGTTATATTTTGTATTCTATTTATAACCAATAAAACATTGTATTTCAATTAAATTTGCAGTATTTTTCAACATCACCTTACTTTTTATAACATTAGAGTGCAATCAAGTCACCAATCTATCAGATATTAATTGGCTTCTGTATCAATACCCTCAACTAATTTGGATCCTCAGCCCAATGAGGAAATAGACAAAAAGCTACGTAAACCGAAATCAAGCCAAAATTATGTATGTAATTATCCCATGGCCAAACACGCCTTTAAATCTATAATCATTTGATTAGGTTTTAGGTGCCTAGGTGTGCGACAAGCAATAGACTTTTAAAGAAAGATAGAATTGGTAAGTGTAGATCAAGAAGATGAGAATGGTTTCGGCGTCATTTAAAGTGTGCTTTGTTGGTCTGAGTTTCTAACAAAGTAATCTAACGATGCAATATACAACCCTGAGGGCTAAGATGAAATACCTCTAGCTGGGTACAGTGAATTTGAATCGAATCACTTTTTAAAGACGATAAAAAGCAGTATATAGGCGATTAATTACAATTGTTTACAGTCTGTTTGATATCATGAAATGTTGTTTTTAAAATTTCATCTTAAATTTGGCAAGATCGTCAATAGTTTTTAGATGCCAAGGTTATCTTTAAAAAGGGAATTGATCCACTGTACCCTGCGTTTGGGATATACTGTATCCAGGATAGACTCACACAAGTAAGTGATAATCCTAATTTCGGGATAGTATGTTCCGAAGCTGACAGTTAAGTGAGAATACACATCTTTAATATGAACCTTAGGTCAGAGTTATAAATCTTAATTTTCTCTGAAAAGTTTGGTTCGAATCGTGCGAGAGAGATAGTAACAAATGACAGATTTGTCCGTCCGCGCTTAGTTTTGTGCGCTGTGAAAAACGTAAACAAGGAAGTTACAGCCTTGATCACAAAGCGTTTCATTACAATTCCACTAGGAATTCTAACGAACATCCAAGTATAGTGGTTGGAAGAATAGCTTAAATATGTAAATTTTGTGAATCATAAAATTCAAAGGTGAAACACCAAGTGTTTGCTGCCTAAGCAGTAAAATTAAAATAAGCAGTAAATTAACTGAATTAAGTTCACTACCACCGAACTTTTTGGAATTAATGAAAGCACAAACACAAAATTTAAGAGTTTTTACAAAAAATTTGAAGTTACTATGGATGTTTCCAAGTGCCTTCGTTTGGAGAAACTGAAATAATCGATGAAAAGAGATTAAATCCAGTGTTTAGATTCCACGGACAAATATATCATTAAATTGGATCATTATTATTACTTCCAAACGAATCACCGAAGTTCTTACAAATTTACTCCATAAGAAATGAAGAAAATGAAGTCAACCAAAGGTTAACAAATTTTCCGGGATTGCGTCGAGATATAATTCTTGATATACGGCGAATTCTTCATGAAAATAATTAGTTAATAAGAATTTTGGAACTGCAATGGAAAATTGCTCTCAGTTAATTACAAAGTAACAATTCGAGCAGATAAAAAACCAACTGCAGGCAGGTGTAGATCATTGCATATTATTTCACGCAGGTAGCAAGAGTGACACAGGCCTGCTTATGTAAGAAAATATGGTCGTCCTGATTTGTTTATTACATTTAAATGTAATCCATCGTGGAAAGAAATTCAAGATGAGTTACAATATGGATAAAAGCCATATGATAGAGTATTCAAAGATAGTGCCTTGGGTCGAATATATACGGTTCATCTAAGAAACGTAGAATGTTTTTACTTACGTCTACTACTTAATGAAGTTCGTGGACCAACATCGTTTGAAGATCTTCGTGCAGTAGACAGTTATATTTGCAAAAAATATCGTGAATCATGTCAACGTCGTGGTTTAATGGAGAACGATAATCATTAGAAGTAAACAATGAGAGAAGCTGTACAAGCAAGAGCTACTACCTATAACTACAAGAACTTTTTGCTATAATTCTAACATCGTGTATTCCTTCAATTAAATGAAAATTCCGTTTTCAAACTCAGTATACAGACACACAGAGAGATATATAAAGGAATATAAAGATTTCGGTCAATGAACTCAAATTGAACTACCGACTTCTGGTTATTTTTACCACATCACTCGGTCGTGCGTGAGTCAAGTGAAATCACTAAATTACGTGTGGTGTTTGAAGCATCAACTAAAACCACGTCGAAAGGGTATTTAAATGATATACAAGCTTATTACAACATGGCCGGCGTCACGCAAAAAAAAAGATTTCAACGACATTATATCTCCAGTGCATTCTTTGGCGCGATGATGAAACACGGCCTCTTATCACTTCATAACGTAACTTAAGGCACAGTATCCACACCATCCTTAAGCACAAGATGTTTAGTATAATTTTCCAATTTTTGATTGATGATTTGACATGATTTTTGTAGATGACCTGCTGACAGGTGCATCTACAGAAAATTATTTACCTCACATTTATAAAGGTGTGACCGGAACATTAACTGGACCACTCATATCAAAAACCGACACCCGCTGGAGAAAAGCTGTGTTAGCTACCGATCGACTAGCGATTACCTTGAGATATCCGGCTACAAGAGACTAGTATTTTTCACTCAGTACACTGTTCAAAGTGTCTCCACAAGGTGTTTTTTGACTAATTCCAAAGCTTTGGTATTTTCATTATCTAATTATGTAAAGGTAAGTAAAAAAAAACAATAACAGTAAGTAGTCAAAAGCACATTTTTATTCTTTGGCTGGAACTTCACACAAATATCACTTTCACACATATGTTTTTTTACAGATGCCGAATACGTATATAATACGAATAGATGGTAGAGCCATTAAAATTATAATAGTTGTAGCACAAATTGGTTCACAACTGGGACAGGACAACTTTCTCTCTGAATAACAGTGTTAGATGTCAGCTTAATGCTGCTGTTTCTAATGATGAGTGTCGAGACAAGAGACCCCTTTTACTGTAAACAAGGTATTTCGTCTTAGCCTTCAGGGGTGACAACAAATCAAAATTTTTACGTGGTAGAGCCACGCTGCAGCTATTATGGTCGTACCATTAATGGGTCGGCTCGACCGGGGAAGGACCACGCTCTCACAGAATACTACCGTAAAATAGCAGCTTAATGCTGCGGTGTTTCGTATGGTGAGTATAGAGAACCGGAGACCCGTTTTACTGAAATCGAGGTCTAGCGGTATGGAAGGAAAAGGGGGAGATCTCCCGCCGGGCAAGGTGTTCTGCCCGGGGAGCGGCCAACGCTCCGCGTGATAGTTCGGAGATGTTCTATATATACTGTTTATAATTCAGAATGTTGATAGCGTGATTTAGGCTTCGGTGTATTTCGCTTGTGGCGCGACGACAGCGCCGCCACATCACCCCCCTGCTCAGACCGGAGGTCGATAGTGCAGTCGAGTTGTCGACGAATGTGCAAGTGCCAGGAGATTGCCTTGTAGTCTGCGGTGAGTCGAGAAGAAGGCAAGTAATCTGCGAGCGTGCCGTGAAACAGAGGCGAGCAGTAAGGCTCAGAGCCGTGCCGAACACTGTATAGCGCAGAGAGTAGCTTGAAGGAACAGGAAGCATTATTATTCCAGTGCTGCGATGAACCTTGTGAAGCTAGATGGCTTGCAGGATATGAAGACTGCAGACGATATCTGCTCGGGAGCGAACGGGTGGGGTATTCTATGACGTTGATGAAGCTTGAAGTTTGAGAAGGTTGTTTGGTTGCGTGTTCAAGATCACGTCGGGGTCACCACTCTAGCGGTATGGAAGGAAAAGGGGGAGATCTCCCGCCGGGCAAGGTGTTCTGCCCGGGGAGCGGCCAACGCTCCGCGTGATAGTTCGGAGATGTTCTATATATACTGTTTATAATTCAGAATGTTGATAGCGTGATTTAGGCTTCGGTGTATTTCGCTTGTGGCGCGACGACAGCGCCGCCACACGAGGCATTCCAACTTAGTCCTCAAGGATGACAATGCATCTGCATTTTGATTCTTAATCGAGGTTAAATGTAGATTTCGATTGGCCACAGCACTTATCATCCACTCCACTTATCATCAGATGGACTGTGTGCTCGTTTGTCACCCTTAGCCTATAAAAAAATACACATAGAGTGGCTATTTACATAGGTGCTCTCGATAGGAAACATGTACATATAATCTGTCCATCTAATAGCGGTTCCAACTTTTATAATTATAGGTCATATTTCAGTATTGCTTTGCTGACTTTAATTGATGCCAATTATAATTTTTATACGTGGACTTTCGTTGTCAGGGTAGAATATCTGGTGCTGTAGTTCTATGAAATTCTACTTTATTCTATATGATACAAATTGGAACTTTAAGTATGCCACAACCGATTCCATTACAAGGGAGAAATACACCTGTTCCTTTTTATTTCATCAGTGACGATGCTTTCCCCATATCATAAAATATTACATTTTCCAGAAACTATGCAATCCGATCCTGAATGACCTGAGAGGGTTTTAAGTTATAAAATTTGTCGCGGGCGCGTGGTTGCAGAAGACATATTTGGTATTTTAGCTAATAAATTCAGAATTTTGCATTCACTCATTGGTTTACATTCACCGTGTAGTGGCGGTTAAGAATATCCACTACCCCATATCTTCTCTGGGTGTCGTAAGAGGCGACAGAGGGAAACAGGCAGGAGATGGGCAGCAGCATCTTCCTGATAACAGCAACTGTACAACAAAAAAAACTGCGGTTGCCAACCCGCTCGCTAAGCATGGCAACTATACCCCCCATGAAGAATTACACAAATAGGCGGCCCCCAGTCCCCGGCGGCCCCTCTATTCCTGGCTACGGTGGCGACCATGGTAACGGCGGGGCAGGGGGTGCTAAGAATCTTCGGTGGAGGTTCGGTTGCCACCTACGACGACTCGACCTGGCAACATTTAACGCACGCACCCTGAGGACTGACGAGAAGATCCTGGAGCTGGAAGAAGAGATAGACAAGTTGCGCTGGAATATTATAGGATTATCCGAGGTCCGAAGAGAGGGGGAGGACACAGTGATTCTCGAATCCGGCAACTTGTTCTATCACCGAGAAGGCGACCATCTACCCCAAGGAGGTGTTGGATTTATCGTCCACAAGTCTCTCGTTAACAACGTTTTAAAGATTGGAGTGTATCGGCGAGGGTTGCGTACCTTATACAGAATCACCAAACGGTATTCGCCTAACGGTACCTAAACGGTACTTGAAGTCCTTCAGAGGCTCTTTCATTCCGTCCTCCATGGTGGCAATACTTCGGAGGCGTGGAGGAGAAGTGCGGTGGTCTTGTTCTTCAAGAAAGGTGACAACGCCCTCTTGAAGAACTACAGACCGATATCCCTTCTGAGCCGCGTCTACGTGCTGTTTTCGAGAGTCATTACGAATCATCTCGCGCGCAGACTCGACGACTTCCAGCCTCCAGAACAAGCCGGTTTCAGAAAAGGCTTTAGTACCATAGACCACATACATACCCTTCGGGAAATTGTACAGAAGTCCGAAGAGTGCAATCTGCCACTTTGCCTGGCGTATGTGGACTATGAGAAAGCCTTTGATTTCGTCGAAATTTGGGCGGTACTACAATCTCTTCAGAGGTTCCAAGTTGACTGTCGGTATATCGAAGTGCTGAAGTGTTTGTACAGTGGGGCTACGATGGCTATCCGAGTACAGAACCAGAGTACGAAACCTATCCAACTGCAGAGAGGTGTAAGACAGGGTGACGTTATATCCTCGAAACTCTTCACCGCTGCATTGGACGACGTTTTCAAGCTACTGGACTGGAAAGGATACGGTATTAACATCAATGGCGAGTGATCACTCACCTTCGATTTGCCCACGATATAGTCCTTATGGCAGAATCGCTGGAGGACCCAAGCACTATGCTCAATGACCTCAATGGTGTCTCCCAACGGAGAGGTCTTAAGATGAACATGGACAAAACAAAGATCATGTTTAATGTCCATGCCACACCTACGCCGGTAGTTGTTAGGAGCACTATGCTCGAAGTTGTTGACGAGTACGTTTACCTGTGACAAATAGTCCGACTAGGTAAGTCCAACTTCGACCGAGAGGTCAATCGACGGATTCAACTCGGCTGGGCAGTGTTCGGGAAATTACGACATATCTTCTCGTCAGGTATACCTCAATCTCTGAAAACTGGATTGTACAACCAGTACGTGTTGCCAGTGATGACTTACGGATCTGAGACGTAGTCCTTCACTGCTGGCCATATGAGGACGCTCAAGGTCGCTCAGCGAGCTATGGAGAGGGCTATGCTCGGAGTTTCTCTGCGTGATAGACTCAGAAATGAGAATATCCGCAGTAAAACCAGAGTAACCGACATAGCCCAACGGATTAGTAAGCTGAAGTGGCCGGCCATATAGCTCGAAAAACCGATAATCAATTGGGAAGAAAGGTTCTCGAGTGGCAGCCTCGTACCGGTAGGCGTAGTGTAGGGTGACCCCCCACTAGATGGAGTGACGACCAGGTAAGATATACAGGAAGTCGATGGATGCAGGTGGCTCAGGACCGTGCTTTGTGGCATTACTTGGGGGAGGCCTATGTTCAGTAGTGGACTTGTGAAGGGCTGTAATGATGATGATGATGGTGATGATAGGTTTACATACTCATTCCTGCTTCATAGATAATATTCTGGATTTGATGTTTTACTGTACATCGTGTAATATTCCATCTTCCTTAACTTGCTACTTATATAGTCCGCAAATATATTAGCATCATCGCGTTGCCCTGCTTTAGACGTAATCTCCCTCAAGAAATGCAAAGTTTCATCAACTTCAGGATCTTTCTCTATATTTTGCTTTCGTGAAGTCCTTGCTGAAGGTAACGTAGTCTGTGCTGTGATATTTTCTCGAGAAGTCTGAAAATAAAAAGAAAATCATATTAATAAATGCAAACAAGCTTTAACATTATTACATCATACTTATTCACCATCATCATTACAGCCCTTCACAAGTCCACTGCTAAGCGTAGGCCTCCCCCAAGATATGCCACAAAGCACGGTCCTGAGCCACCTCCATCCATCGACTTCATGCATGTCCTACCAGATCGTCACTCCATCTAGTGGGGGGTCGCCCTACACTTCGCCTACCGGTACGAGGCTGCCACTCGAGAACCTTTCTTCCCAATCGGTTATCGGTTTTTCGAGCTATACTTGAGAACCTTTTATGCCCAACGGTTGACGATTCTTCGAGCTATATGGCCGGCCCACTGCCACTTCAGCTTACTAATCCGTTAGGCTATGCCGGTCACTCTGGTTCTACTATGGATATCCTCATTTCTATGTTTATCACGCAGAGAAACTCCAAACATAGCCCTCTCCATAGCTCGCTGAGCGACTTTGAGCTTCCTCATGCGGCCAGCAGTGAAGGACCACGTCTCATGTCACCACTGGCAACACGCACTGGTTGTACAATTTCGTTTTCAGATTTTGTGGTATACCTGACGAGAAGATGTAACGTATTTTCCCGAATGCTGCCCAGGCGAGTTGAATCCGTCGATTGACCTCTCGGTCGAAGTAGGACTTACCTAGTTGGACTATTTGTCCCAGGTAAACGTACTCGTCAACAACTTCGAGATTAGTGCTCCCAACAACTACCGGCATAGGTGTGACATGGACATTAAACATGATCTTTGTTTTGTCCGTGTTCATCTTAAGACCTTTCCGCTGGGAGGCACTATTGAGGTCATTGAGCATAGCGCTTGGATCCTCCAGTGATTCTGCCATAAGAACTATATCGTCGGCAAATCGAAGATGAGTGATGTACTCGCCATTGATCTTAAAACCGTATCCTTTCCAGTCCAGTAGCTTGAAAACGTCTTCCAATTCAGCGGTGAAGAGTTTCGGGGATATAACGTCACCCTATCTTAAACTTCTCTGCAGTTGGATGGGTTTCATACTCTGATTCTGCACTCGGATAGCCATCGTAGCCCTACTGTACAAACACTTCAGCACTTCGATACACCGACAGTCAACTTGGCACCGCTGAAGAGACTGTAGCACCGCCTTAATTTCGACGGAATCAAAGTCTTTCTCATAGTCCACATACACCAGGAAAAGTGGCAGATTGTACGCTTCGGACTTTTGTACAATTTGCCGAAGGGTATATATGTGGTCTATGGTGCTAAAGCCTTTTCGGAAACCGGCTAGTTCGGGAGGCTGGAAGTCGTCGAGTCTGCGTGCAAGACGATTAGTAATGACTCTCGAAAACAGCACGTAGACGCGGCTGAGAAGGGATATCGGTCTGTAGTTCTTCAAGAGAGCGTTGTCACTTTTCTTGAAAAACAAGACAATCGCACTTCTGCTCCACACCTCAGGAGTAGTGCCACCATGGAGAACGGAATTAAAGAGCTTCTGAAGGAATTCAAGTACCGGTTTTCCACCCGCTTTCAGAAGCTCCGCTGTAATTCCATCCTCGCCCGGGGACTTGCCGTTTTTAAGGGTGCTGGAGAGCCATTCTAATCTCGCTTAGACTGACGTCCGGGAATCATCGGAATAGTGTCGGATAAGAATTGCTCTTAGACCGTTACTCACACTTGCGTGTGACTCCAACGATGATGTTAATGTTATACGGGAGATGATGTGCTTCATCTCCCGTCTAACATCCATGAGATTAAGAGTGTGTGTTTTTGTGTTCTTCTGCGGCGGGTCTTGTAGAATTTAGCTTCGACCGCATGGACAGTTTCCACGAGCTTTTCATTCATATCGTCCACTGTATTGCAGTCATCTAGGTACTGACAGCGGCTTTGTAACTCGAGCTGAAATGTTTCAGGATTCTGGACTAGACCACGAGGGCGACGGAGCGGTGACTTCATTAGATGAGACCTCTCCAACTCAACGTTTAGGTTTAGTGTGCCTCTAACCATTCGGTGATCGCTGCCAGTTTTCACCCTCGCGATTACTAAGACTTCACTGAACAGTTGGCGTCTGGTCGTCATAATGAAGTCAATCTCATTTTTTGTCGCACCGTCGGGGCACGACCAGGTCCACTTCCTGTGGGGCCGCTTCTGGAAGAACGTTCATTATAAAGAGTCCCTCTTTCTCCATGAAGTCGGCCAGCTGGGTCTTCTCGGGCCCCTTGGGTTCCGCTGCCCTATTCCAAATTTCCCTAACTTCAGCTCACCGTTTGCTCTTGTGCCTAGTTTTGTGTTAAAATCTCCCATCAACACCGTATAGTGGGTTTTGGAGGAATGCATAGCTCTAGAAATATCCTCATACAATTCCTCCACCTCCTCATCGGGATGTGCTTGGTGTGGTTGGTGTGTAAGCCTGTATGACTTTCAGTGAATACCGTTTAGTGGTCGACACGCTCTCAATCTTTACAACGTTGTTGATGAGAGACTTGTAGACGATAAATCCGACAGCTCCTTGGGACAGATGGTCGCACTCCCAGTGATAGAACAAGTTGCCAGACTTGAGGATTACCGTGTCCTCCTCCTCTCTTCGGACCTCGGATAATCCTATAATATGCCAGCGCAACTAATCTACCTCTTCTTCCAGCTCCAGTATCTTCTCGTCAGTCCTCAGTATCATATGTTGCCAGGTCGAGTCGTCGTAGGTGGCAACCGAACCTTCACCGGAGATTCTCAGCACCCCCTGCCCCGCCGTTACCATGGTCGCCACCGTAGCCAGGAATAGCGGGGCCGCCGGGGACTGGGGGCCGTTTGTTTGTGTCGTTGCTCACGGGGGGGATATTTGCCATAGTTGCCATATAAATATTTCATTTCATTTCACGCTTGGCAAGCGGGTTGGCAACCGCAGTTTTTTTATTGTGTAGTTGTTTTTATCAGGAAGATGCTGCTTCCCATCTCCTGCTTGTCTCCCTCTGTTGCCTCTTATGACACCCACGGGAAGACATGGGGTAGTGAATATTCTCAACCGCCACTACACGGCAGTTTAGGCAGTTTAATCATCATCAATACTTATTACTTATAATCAAATCGTAGACACTAACTCTATACCATTTCTGTACATGTAAAATTTTTAAGTGAAAAATGAGAAGTTTTTAAGTGAGCATTTAAGGTTTTAAAACAACCGAGTCGTTTAGTGCCTTGGAATGAGAGTAAAAAACAACCAAACAACGCATTCTTAAGGCGACACCGTGAAAAAATGCATCTACTTTCATCGAATAGTATAGGACTATGACACCACTAACGAAAGTGGGATTTTGATATAAGTAAATTCATGTCTTTATCTTGAATTTGATTGTTCAAAAACACGATTGTATAATTTTGACTCGATCATAATTATTTGCGAAAACACCTCTAAAAAATCACTATAGTTGAAATTATAACGAAATAACTTAATATATATGCTTGGGAATCACTCAAATATATTCATAACATCAATATTAATAATTTACTTGCTCATTATTTTGATTAGGTAATTAAATCAATCATTAAAAAAAATATTTTAAGATTCTGACAATTTCTAAGCGCTTTTAATCGTCGCGGGCGTTACGCTACGCTATTTTAGACCTTATGACGGCGTTTTTTCAAGTTTTTATAGAAATTATGTATTCACTCGGATCAGTACGGCGATAGCCTTTTCGATGTGTCGTCTTAACTCATTGAACTCTCTAGTACATAGTCAGTAATCTATGCATTGAACGCACTCTACTTACTAGTATTTCCAAGATGGCGGCGCTACATTTTCCTACTACCTATAGAAAATAATCGTGGCGTTAGTTTGAAACGCCGTATCTTTACTATAGTCAACCAAATCTAAGAAATACATTTTGACAGCTGTCAGATTTATTGCACAAAGCATGCCAACCAAAAAATGGGAACGTACAATGTTCGATTCTTTAAAAAATCGATATCGATTATTTAGAGTTGGTAATCATTTAATTTGGTTTGAATAATACCAGAATACATTTAAAAAGGATAATTTAAAGATTTATCAGTTTCTTCGTATTTGTTGTTACTGCTTATTTCTAGAGGCACAGTTATAAAAATTTAAGATTAAAACTTATTCAATCATTTTCAGTAAAACTAGTAGATATGTCGTTTTTTATATTAATTATTATTAGATCTTCAATTTTTTTGTTTCTTTTCAATTCTTCAATTCAGACGAAAATTAAAGTCTCTTGCAAAGTCATCCATAATATTTTTTTTGTTTTTTCTACCACTTTTGCCCAATCATCCTTTGTGACATGGGCACATGCTTCAAAGAATATTTTTTTATAGCATTGAGTGACAAACGAGCGCACAGTCCACCTGATGTTAAGGGGATGCTATGGCCTATAGGCATACATATTTATTCTCAATTAATAATCAAAATGCAAATGCGTTGTCACCCCAGAGGCTTAAGATGGAATGCGTCGATTCCAGTAAAAAGGTCTCCGGTTCTCTACACTCACCATACGAAACACAGCAGCATTACGCTACTATTTTACGCTGGTATTCTGTGAGAGCATAGTCCTGCCCGGGTTGAGCCGATCCATTCGTGCTACAACTATAATATAGATGTACCGTGGCTCTACCACGTACAAAAAGTTATTATAGAAGAAACAGTCCAAAAAGTTAAAACCGAGTCACAAAATGACGAGAGGACAAGCAAAAAATCACAAAATTACGCATTAGGCTCTGGAAACAGAAACAAAAACTTTTTTATTCAATATAGATTATGAATAATACTTATTGAAAGTCCCTTTTTTCATTTACCACTCGTTCGCAAAAAAAACCTTTGTCCTGGGAAGAACCAGCAATAAACCCAACGGGACTAGTCTAAAAAAATAAGAGTTTACAATCATGCGTGTTACAATTAACAACACAAAACAAATTAGAAATAGCTTGGTAGCGATCACCCTTCCCAGGAGTTATTATCACCCATATATTCCTCAATATTAAAATAATCCTTTTTATACAAACTTAGTTTAATAAATAATGATTTCTTATATTTACGCGAACACTACACATGCAAATAATACTAGTTTTTACGGAATTTATCGCGTATATTTAACTTTTTAATACCCGACGTTTCGAACGCTTTACAGCACTCATGGTTACGGGCGGGACTGAGATATTCAACGTCCATATGTCATAGTTAACCGCGGTTACCATAGATTAAAATTTAACTTTTGTTCCGATCTATACAGTATGAACTTATGGTATCTTGAAGTCTTGCAGTTGTATGCTTGGGTTGGGATTTAATTTTATTTATTATCGGATCCCAAGCAGATGGTAGCACCCAGCCATCTTCTCTATTGAAATTAGGATGCTTTTGATATCAATAGCCTCGCGAATCATCTTTGGAAGGAATCGGTGTTCTTTAGCGAGGATTTGCGGTTTATCACATTTGATGTGGTGACGGGGGCGACCCTGTACATGTTTACAGACTGTAGACGACCCGGAGCGTCGATTCTTCACATCAGCTATATGTTCTTTAACGCGGTACACTCCTGCATCTTGCAGAGGGACATTACACTTGACTGATGGTAAAAACTGACCAATCTTCTTCAGCGGCTTGAAGTATGTTTTGATGGAAGCACGCTTCAAGATGTAGCCAATCTTGTCAGTGACTCCTCTAACATATGGCAGTACAGCAGGTACACGCTCGACTGTGGCCGGCTTCACTCGTTCACTGTGACGTAGGTGCGGGACTCGAAGCTTGTCATGCAAAACTTGCTTGACATGGTGGAGCTCGGCAGCCAGGTGTTTACTGTCACAGATCCCTCGTGCTCTCTGAAACAAAGATTTACCCACGGTAGCTAACTGTGAAGGATGGTGGTGAGAATCGCCGTTTAAATATCTATCTGACCATGATATGTGTGACCATGAGTGCAGTAAAGCGCTCGAAACGTCGGGTATTTAAAGACTTAAATATACGCGATAAATTCCGTAAAAACTAGTATTATTTCAATTAGTTTAATAAAGTTTTTAAACTATGTGTACTTACGTCAAATTTTGTATATTTTCTGGGATTTTGTTGTAAAAGCGTATTCATCGCCCCAAGAATGAATACTGACTCTGTGGAGTCGAGTAACTGGTACCGAAATGGCGGGATATTGAAATTATGTAGTAGTTTGTTTAGCACAGCCTTGTATATGATTTTTTGCCTACACAAATTTACTTTGACAAAGTTAAAAAAAATAAACTTGTTTTATTCATGATTCATGTAATTTGAGGAATTTTGAAAATAAAAATTAAATTAAACAAATAATACATTAAAAAAATTAATGATTCGATTATTTGAAAATTTTTACCGATTATTTGAATATTTTGTCGATCATTCGCATAACAACGAATTTTTATCATCCAAGCACTACGGTAATATACATAGCGACATATCATTGAAACGACGTCAAGAAAAAAAGTTAATACTGGTTATTTTTTAATATTTTGCTTTGTTTGAAAAATTCAAATTTAAATTTGTGATAAAAAACTATACACGTTGTAATGAAATATAGGTAACTTCATAATTCTTCGAATTTACGTAAAAGGTTATTTTAAATCCTGTAAGTACGCTGGTGCAAAGTTATTGCGGAATGATTAATGTGAAACGTCAAAAGGTATTTCTTAGATTTGGTGGACTATAATTATTTTTAAGAATGATTGTAAGAATTTGACGGGTACTTACACTTAGCGATGCAAAGTTTTTAAAAATATCGATATATTGATATCGATATATATTGAATGAAGTTGATATTTATATATCGATATATCGGTCAAGTACGCCGATATATCGAAATTTCATCGATATTTTCCTTTTTTTTTAAGGTTAATAAAACAAAAATTTGGAAATAAAAAATGTATTATTTTAATATATAATTTAAAAAAAATTAATTCCAGTATTTTTTTATAGCTATCGAACTTAAAAATAATAACTTAGAAAGTCTGCTTCCATGTAGCCGGTTTCGGCTCTGGGTTATAGTAGCTTCTGCCTTCGAATAAAACGTTCTGATGGAACACTTGTTGCTACAATCGGTAGGTGACACATTGCCACTTTAAAAAGATTCGGATATACACCCTGCATCTCTTGCCATGTTTCAAGAAAATTTCATCGTCACCATCAGTTTTTTTTTTCTTTTTATCTGCGTGTGAGCCAAAGATTTGTGGTACTTACAAAAATCAAATTCAACTTTTTCTTCATCTTCTGAAGAAGTAGATGAAGCCGTCGCGGCAGATTTATATTCAGAAATGAATTTTCTAATTCGAGACATTGCTTTCGCACAAGCTTCCGGTTTTTTAAAATGCAAGTTCTTGAAACGCAAGTCTAGCAATGTAGAAACGGCTCACAACATGTTAATGTTAATGTTGTTAATGTCAAGCATATAGTACAAGGAATTGCATCTCGTTTTTACATCAAGTATCACTTTAAGAGCTTTTCCATCGGGTATTTTATTTTCTATTTACTTTCTTTTTAATTCCAATGCCATGTCTTGTCTCTTTTTTACGTATTTTACTATATTCCTAACATGCTCTATTATATCACTCAGTCCGGAAGTTTTTCTTATGGCCTCTTCAGCAACTCTATTTATCATGTGAGCAAAACATGGGATATGTTTGTGTGCCCCAAACGTCTCTCTTATTGCTTTAATCATATTTGCGCCAGAATCTGCAACGAAAGCCATAACTTTTTCACTATCTATATTCCAACTTCTTAATATTCCTGTCAATTGTTGTCCAATGTACTCGCCAGTATGACTTTCTTCTAATTCGAAAACTCCAATAGTCACAGATTGTAATTCATTCTGTTGCAAAAAATGAACAGTAAGTCCCAGATAACCAGTGTTAGTCAATGTCTCTGTCCAAATGTCTGTAGTCAAACTAAAGTAATCCACATTTTTCAATTTATCCGCCACAATTTTTGATAATGTGTCATACTTTTTATCAATCTTTGCCTTAATTGTTTCCCGACAAGGCACTTTATACAAAGGGGCTAGTTCCTTAATCAAATGTCGAAAACGTTTTCCTTCAACCGCATAAAACGGCCTGTTATCAACTGCAATAAAATACGTAATAGCATCTGTTATCCGGTCGTATTCTGCACCACCTTTAGAATATTGATACACATTTTCAAAAGCCTGTTTTATTTTCGGAGTGTTTGCAGATGTATTAGGAGTAGTGGGCTTAGTTGTAGGGAACACAACCACAGCAGAAGCTTCAACAGTATCAACTGACGTTTCAGGGGGTTTATCACTTTCGTCCGATATTTGAAGATTAACGCTGACTCCAGCACTTCTAAACAAACTAGAAAACGTACCATCACATTCAGTCAACTTACTGAAAAAGAAAAAAAACCTTCCTACAACACTTAGGTATTCTCAAAGGGACCCCTCACCTCCTCTAACCCGCAAACAATTAAACGTTGTCACGTCAAAAAAACAACGATACTTATTTTTATTTTGCTAGACTAAATATATAATTTTTTTTGTCATATACAACCATTTGCATGCTTAGGTATATTTTGTCAAAAAAAAATTATATCCGTTTATATATTCGCGTTATGTATCCGCTTATACCGATATTGATATATTCAATCGTCGTGCCATGTCAGTAATAGCATTTTACCTGGTTTTGTGAATATTTTAATTTGTGCTGGTTTTCAATATTTTGTTTCGATATATCGCGTTTTTTGAAGATATTGAATTATCGATATCGGTATATCATCGATATCGATAACTATCGATATTTTTAGGTGTTGATATATCGATATTTATCGGTTTTCCGATATATCGTTGCATCCCTACTTACACTAGTCGCTAGTGACTATTCAGAGTCGATACGGTGTATTTTTGTCATTAATGAATGATAACGCTTTATAAGCAAACCATTTCGGCAATTTAACATCCTCACTTCCAGGTCAACTCCTTCTAGACTTTTCTATCAATAAAAGTACTGCACTATCATCCCAATTAAATTTTGTCATTTTTTATTCAAAGTATGAAATTATATTGTATTACAAACTAATAAGAGTAGTAACGTATGTTGTATTTAAAATGAAATATGTAATTTCAGCATTACCACTACCACTTCGTGTTGAAGACGCAAGCGAATTGGCGCCGGCACCCATAAGCTGCGCGTGACGCCGAGCATGTGTAATCCACACATGCCCGGCGTACCGGTGTAAATTTACTTGTAACAAGACATTCCATCTTGTAAACTCAGGATTTACCCTATATAATAATTAATAATATTGTCATTGATTTAGTATAAACTGACGTTAGAATTTGTAGTCTGTCAGAGGTGACATTGCATCTGCAATCTGCACTTCAATGTACGAGTCACAGAACACTATTACTCCTATCGAGTATATTGATCTATGATATCTGAGATACGAGTATGTCTATTGACCTTCATCCTCAATTTACCATTAGGTACTTTTTGCTCTTTTGTCTTACCGTTTAAGCCGTCCATATACATACGGAATACCTTTCTGGAACTCCGTTTCGGAATGCCAATTCGGGATTCCGAACACAGAAAGCCCATATAAAATCAAGGACATGTCACACACCTACGGTAGGTAGGTAGTTTTCTGTTCAAAATTTTGCAGACAAAACGGGATTCCGTATGTGTGTGTGTCCGACCCGTTCGTTCCGTTTTGGAATTCCGTATGTAGTATGTGACGGGTCTTAGAATCGCCACAGCACGCTTTTCACGGTTTCTTATTTTTAAATTTAAAAAATGAGATCAATGAGAATACTTCATCGGGACAATTACTAAATTTGTAGATGTTTGTCCGGTCAGCGGTGGATTACTGCCGTCCCATATATGTATGTTTTAGTCTCAGTGTAAAGTCGTAAGACTTAATAAGACTGATTTCGTATCTCCAAGGAACTCCGTTTTGATATGTACCAAATTACTTAGTATCGAAAACAAGTGTAAGGTTGCTAGTCTCTCGATATTATACAGGATTATTTTTCAAGATTTAATTCTACCAATGGGTTTTACTTTTACTTTATCATTTATAACGCGTACAGCAAAATTTGGCATGATTTACGAGCATCAGTTTTTCCATCTGTAATTGAGATTTGATTGCGTAGACAATGGACTATACCTGTTTCTTCTCATACAAATTTTATTATGTATTTCTATAATTTTTTTGCCAGTGGTCCGAGTAGCTTGTTGCTCTTTTGGCAGTCTATCCTTTTGAGAATTACAGGTCTAACATCATCATCATTAAGCCCTTCACAAGTCCACTGCTGAACATAGGCCTCCCCCAAGGAAAGCCACTAAGCACAGTCCTGAGCCACCTGCATCCATCGACTTCCTGCATGTCTTACCAGGTCGTCACTCCATCTAGTGGAGGGTCGCTTTACACTTTGCCTACAAGTACGAGGCTGCCACTTGAGAACCTTTTTCCCCATCAGTTGTTTGTTCTTCTTCAAGCTATATGGCCAGCCCATTGCCACTTCAGCTTACTAATCCGTTGGTCTATGTCGGTCACTCTGGTTCTACTGCGTATATTCTCATTTCTAAGTTTATCACGCAGAGAAATCCCGAGTACAGCCCCCTCTTTCGTAACATATATGTACAATAGTTGATAGTGTGTAACATAAAAAATATAAATAATGCATGCAATGAATGATTTATTTCCACATTACAAAATAAGAAACATATACTTATATAGAACATGATTCTTTAAATTACAATCTCACGTAGTATAATAACAAGCATAATCAAGAGAGTTGGGCTTTTTAAATGTTTAATCTAATAACAACATTCGGTACTGCCCATGTTTCAATAATAAATGTACAATTAAATACAAAATTTTATATTCACTTAGTAGCATTGATAATATCAACAAATTCTGGCTTCAAACTTGCACCGCCTACAAGGAAGCCATCAATATCTGAACAAGCTGCTAGCTCTTTACAATTGGCTGCAGTAACAGACCCACCATATTGTATACGCACAGCATTTGCTACATCAGGCGATGCATTTGTAGACAACCAATTGCGTAGAGAAGAATGGACTTCTTGTGCCTGAAGAAAAATATAATGACATTAGGTAATATTATGTTTTAAAAAAAGTTTTATTTAAAATTAGAATGACCTTAATAGATCATACCAATAGTTTTGATTCAGGGTTCTATCTAATAAATGTTACGATTCAACAACTAATAGTTACTTAATTGCACATGTAAAATTGTAAAAAAAATTCTGTTATTTTTGATGACAACTATATTTTACAATTACACTATTAGCAAGCTTTAAACAGTTTAATTGTACACAGTTCCTAATTTGAATAAACAAGTTTTTCCAGGTCAATTTATAAATTATTAATTATTTCTTATATTTACATGAGCACTACACACAATAAAAATACTTATACGGATTTTATCACGTTTAGTTAACTTATTTTTAATTCCTGACGCTTTGGGTGCTTACAACACCCATGGTCACGGGGAGGACTGAGATATATGACATCCCAATGTAATAGCCCAGCTACTTTCAGCTTTTGAATATTAACTTTTGGTCCAAACTACACAGAACAAGCTCAAAGTATCTTGAAGTCTCGCAGTGGTACGCTTGGGTTTGGATTTAGTTTTGTTAATTAAAGGATCCCAAATAGATGGCAATTAGGATGTTTTTTAATTTAAATAGCCTTGCGTATCATCCTTGATAGGAACTGGTGTTCTTTTGCGAGAATTTGTCGTTTATCAAATCTGATGTAATGGTGTGGACAATCTTGAACATGTTTACAGACTGCATACTTCCCGGAGGGTCGGTACATCACACTAGCTATATGTTTTTTTATGCAGGTTTTATAGATCTTTTTGTTTGTCCATATAAGAGAGACACCATTCAAAATCTAGCTTGTACACTCCTGCATCTTGAAGGAGGATATTAAACTTGATGGATGGTAAAAATTGACTTATCTTCTTTGATGGCTTATAGTTTGTTTTAAAGGAAGCTCACTTCAAGATGTATTCAACCTTGTCAGTGACTCCACTGACATATGGTAGTACAGCAGGTTTCATTCATGCAGGTTTATTCTACAATTAATAAAATTAAATCCAAACTCAAGCATACCACTGCAGGACTTCAAGATACTGTAAGCTTGTTCTGTGTAAATCGGACCAAAAATTAATATTCAAAAACTGAAGATAAATGGGTTAACACTTTACACTGAGATATCTGACATTGGAATGTCAGATATCTCAGTGTAAAGCATCCGAAACGTCGGGAATTAAAAGAATGTTAGGTAAACGCGATATAATCCATATAAATAGTTTTATTCAATTATAAATTATTTTTTGTCATATATGTCGAAATAAAAAATAAATAATAAAAATCAATGTTTGCCAATAAAACAAAGCTGACCTGTTGAGGTGAGGCCGTTTTGCCAGTACCAATAGCCCACACAGGCTCATAAGCTAACACCACATTGGCCCACTTATCTCCAATTGCAGGTAGTAAAGCTTTAGTCTGCCGAAATACAACTTCCTCGGTCTTTCCTGCTTCCCTTTCCTCCAAAGTCTCACCAATACAAGCAATCACTTTTAATCCTGATTCAAGAGCATGAGCCACCTAAAAAATTAATGTATGTAACTATGCCAAAACTGTGCTTAAAACTAAAAAAAATATCTAAGATAAAAGCATAGGTACTTTCTCAGCAACCAATTCATCTTTTTCACCAAAAATACTTCTTCTTTCTGAATGCCCAAGGATTACCCAATTTATGCCGACATCTTTTAACATGGCGGGAGAAATTTCACCTGAGACACAAAAATATACATCACTAACATATATAATCAAATTATGATCATAATAAACAACTTACATAATAGTAATATATGATAATATAATCATAAATTTATAACAAAAGTTGTTTGGCAAAACATTACAACTCCTTATGAAACACCTATTAGCTTCACAATGCATAAGTTGTGTAATTTTTAAATCCAATAATTTAGTGCAAAGGCAAAATGCTTGCTTTATTTTTCATGATATGTCTTATTGATTAAAAAAATACTAATTTAATATAATAAACAAGATAGTTGCCCTGTAAATGAACAGTTTACATAACAATAATCAATTCTCTTTATGATTCAATAATGAACATGTACAATTAAGTAGACATTTAATATTCATTGATAGTATCAATAAATTCTGGCTTCAAGCAAGCTCTTCGGATCAAACAATGTCCAATAATTTAACGCAAATGATGTGGCACAGACTAGTAAATCTACCACATTCCCAGAGGCCACCCGAATATTTGGATAAATTAAAATATGTTCTTAAAAGTTATGCAAAACTACCAACATAAATTTTAAATCTGCATAGAAAATCTTTGTGACTTCAAAGTCTGAAAAGTTGATGGAAAGCAGATATAATCTATACTAATATAATAAAACTAAAGTACATTTATGTTTGTTTAAACATGCTTATCTATGGAACTACTAGTTCAATTTGAATAATTCTTTTTGTATGATAGCCAGATTCATGAGGAAAAGTATAGGATGTCTATCATTAAGCTACATTTCTCAGTTTACCTTAAAAATACTTTCTTGTTGAGAGAGTCGGAAGAAAAAGCACACCCAAACTGCCTTATCTGCATTTGCTGGCCTAATGATATGTAGTACTATTATTTATTCTATTGTAATGGAATGGAATTTAAAAAAAATATAAATGGTAAATTAAACTATTGTAATAAATTTGTTCTATTCTAGTGATACATAAATACAAATTTCTATAAAAATATTTATCTTTACTCCAAAAAAAGGCAATGATAATGTATGCTTATTTCTTATACATAAGCCACAATAAGGTATTTTGTGACAAAAAATATTAAAAATTTAAGCGATTTATGAGTGTTATTATTAGGTATGGCATATTAATCCTTACTAACGAAAGTTATTTCATCATTACGAAATGTTTATGAAGATAAACTTTGATCTTTAGAGCATGCTCTTTGGACGCTTAATTTAAAAGATAATGAAAAGATAAAATATTTCAACACTGCTTGGCACTCAACTACGCATAACCCTATCTCCCCTATGAAAACCGATAGAAACCAGCAGTGAACACTTATATAAGCCAGGTGTCATGTCGCACGGCTCAGGTGCATGATATAAGCAGATTAAATTGCAGGGCAGAGCTAGTATAATATATGGTTATCATTTTGCTTTTTTTAAATTATTTTTATACCTGTAAATGCACCCTTGGGCACTTTCCAGCAGTTTTGGGCAGCTACAGCAATAGAATCAGGAACAATGCTTTTCACATAAGCAAGGTAAACAGCAGGTACACCAATAATTACCTGCAAATAGCAAAAAAAATGTTAAAACAAATTAGGTCATACTTTAACAGTCTTATACATAATAAATTATCAAGTAATGTTAAAATTTTTTAAAACACATTATTATGTAAGGCTACCAGTTGGACTGAACATCCATAATTCTTAAAGTTGAACATAGTACTGGTTGACTGAGATCCTTCAGTGATTCTGCAATAATGACTATATTGTTGGCAATCAATATGAATGATGTATTTGCCATTGATGATAATGTGAAAACAAAAAATATTGATTGATTATTATTTAATATAAAATAATGATTATAACATTTTTATTACAGTTATCAGTTTAATTATATACTGAACCAGCTACCTATGTAAACACTAAGTACAACAGACAACATAACATAATTTGTGGTCGGAGCTCAGCAATGCTATTTAGCCCTGCTCACCTTGTCAGTGCAACAGCCAAACAAAAATATATGGAACCAGCTACCAATGTAAACACTAAGTACAACAGACAACATAACATAATTTGTGGTCGGAGCTCAGCAATGCTATTTAGCCCTGCTCACCTTGTCAGTGCAACAGCCAAACAAAAATATACGGAACCAGCTACCAATGTAAACACTAAGTACAACAGACAACATAACATAATTTGTGGTCGGAGCTCAGCAATGCTATTTAGCCCTGCTCACCTTGTCAGTGCAACAGCCAAACAAAAATATATGGAACCAGCTACCAATGTAAACACTAAGTACCACATAACATAATTTGTGGTCGGAGCTCAGCAATGCTATTTAGCCCTGCTCACCTTGTCAGTGCAACAGCCAAACAAAAATATATGGAACCAGCTACCAATGTAAACACTAAGTACAACAGACAACATAACATAATTTGTAGTCTGAGCTCAGCAATGCTATTTAGCCCTGCTCACCGTGTCAGTGCAACAGCCAAACAAAAATATACGGAACCAGCTACCAATGTAAACACTAAGTACAACAGACAACATAACATAATTTGTGGTCGGAGCTCAGCAATGCTATTTAGCCCTGCTCACCTTGTCAGTGCAACAGCCAAACAAAAATATACGGAACCAGCTACCAATGTAAACACTAAGTACAACAGACAACATAACATAATTTGTAGTCGGAGCTCAGCAATGCTATTTAGCCCTGCTCACCGTGTCAGTGCAACAGCCAAACAAAAATATACGGAACCAGCTACCAATGTAAACACTAAGTACAACAGACAACATAACATAATTTGTAGTCTGAGCTCAGCAATGCTATTTAGCCCTGCTCACCTTGTCAGTGCAACAGCCAAACAAAAATATACGGAACCAGCTACCAATGTAAACACTAAGTACAACAGACAACATAACATAATTTGTAGTCTGAGCTCAGCAATGCTATTTAGCCCTGCTCACCGTGTCAGTGCAACAGCCAAACAAAAATATACGGAACCAGCTACCAATGTAAACACTAAGTACAACAGACAACATAACATAATTTGTAGTCGGAGCTCAGCAATGCTATTTAGCCCTGCTCACCTTGTCAGTGCAACAGCCAAACAAAAATATACGGAACCAGCTACCAATGTAAACACTAAGTACAACAGACAACATAACATAATTTGTAGTCTGAGCTCAGCAATGCTATTTAGCCCTGCTCACCGTGTCAGTGCAACAGCCAAACAAAAATATACGGAACCAGCTACCAATGTAAACACTAAGTACAACAGACAACATAACATAATTTGTGGTCGGAGCTCAGCAATGCTATTTAGCCCTGCTCACCTTGTCAGTGCAACAGCCAAACAAAAATATACGGAGCCAGCTACCAATGTAAACACTAAGTACAACAGACAACATAACATAATTTGTAGTCTGAGCTCAGCAATGCTATTTAGCCCTGCTCACCGTGTCAGTGCAACAGCCAAACAAAAATATACGGAACCAGCTACCAATGTAAACACTAAGTACAACAGACAACATAACATAATTTGTGGTCGGAGTTCAGCAATGCTATTTAGCCCTGCTTACCTTGTCAGTGCCAAACAAAAAAAATTTGTGCAACAGCACAGTTGTCAAGATCTGTAGTTATAAGATATAATATAAAACATTTATGTCAGAGCTCAACAATAAGAATAGAGTGTGTGGCTCTTGCTGTATCCTGTACAATATGATATTTACAATACATACTACTAACAACATTGACTGCCTCATCAGTCTGGTGGTTGCAAACACAATTTTAGACCATGAGGCAAATCCCGGATCAGGTCCAAATCAGTTATTGGGCTTTTCTATGAAAATTTTTTGTAGCAGTCAGGTGTCAGGAAAATGGCAGTGTTTCACCCCATGCCTTAGAAAGTTTGTAAGGCCATTGGTTCTGTGCCAATTTTTTTTCCTGTCATGTCATATTGCCATCTTGGGCATCAGACTATGAGTCTCGGGCACTAAATCCAGTCCTGCCTAGTTGGCTAGTCTCCGTTGAGGCTGGTCACCGTAACCATAATTTGGTCTATAGAACATTATTAATAATTACATTTACAAAACAAAGAGGAATATTGTGTTTAGCTCATATATTTTCGATGTCTAGAACAAAATACCAGAGCTCAACACACTTTTCATAGAACCTCCGTGACGCATCAGCTTAATAATGAGTTATTGTGCTGAGAGCCAGGGGTTAGAATCAAGCATGGATCAAGTATTTGTATGGCCTACGAGTAACTGTTCCGGGTCTGGATGTTTGTACTTGTGTAATTTATGTATGTAAACAGCCTCAACAATACAGGAGAAAATCCTAGTGTGTGGGTAGCAAAAAATCTGTATTATATGTCTTTATATGAATTATTAAATCATTGATGCCATATCAAAAGTCATAAAACTTTTCTGACTTTTACCATTGTTATCTTACATCTATGAGATAAATTGCGGCATATAATCCATTATTACACTAACACCACATGGCAACATTTATACTCCGCAATTTACACTAAGAAATTTCACTTTCCTATTTCATACTGATAATTTGAAAGGTTATAAAATTTAATTCTGTGAAAGCCGAATCTGCGGGCAGAATCATGACTAGTACGTTATAACTGCAAAGGAGATTGATTTAATGCCACATAAGTTATCTGGAAGAATCAAGTCGTGAAGGGACCCCGACATCTCATGTCAACTTTTTTCGTGTTCTCTTTTAAGACATCAATTATATCAATATGATTTGATTCAATGACTGAACTTATTAACATACATTAATAAATTACATAATACAAAAATATATTGTTATACACAGAACAAATACCTCCACATTCTCATCTAAGGGCCCTTTCTTCAAATTGTTCACAATTTCATTTATCTGGTTCTTGTCACCATTCATCTTCCAGTTACCGCCCACGACAAATTTGCGACCCATAATTGCAATTAAGTTCTACAAGCGTAAAATACAATTTAATACAGAAAATACGATACCAAAATTTGTAGAATGTAATTCAAAATAAATTTTGTTCAAACATTTTATATTGAAGATGAGTTTAGTTTAAAGAATGTGTAGTAATACAGAATTTTACTATAACTTTTACGGACTGAAAAATTAATTCAAAGAAGGAGGATCGTGTAGAAATACTAAAAATAAAACACTTTACAATAATAAAACACAAAAGTACCTTTCTGTTCCGCTCAAAATCGCCGGAAAATAATGCCAATGTACAGGTAGTAACTAATATAATTTTTAGATAATATGTTTTATAAACCAAATTTCAAAAGGAAATTATGACGTTAGTACATCCGCGCCTTCTCATTTGTCAAATGTCTCGAAAGTCAAAACAATAACCAATCACGTATAAGATCTATTGATTTTGGTATTCCAACGAGCAAATAAAACAACCTTACTGCAAATGACCTTTGTGACATTGAGTTGACACAGCACACAGAGTACATTTATGTTTTACGATATCATTTATGGTGATCTCAGAGTAATGACTAGCATAGAGAGGGAGTCCTAAAATGGGTACAAAGTTCTCATAGCTGAAGTCACCGACGCGATGCATGTGGTTAGGCAACCGCAATTTTATATTATTTTGAGTTTTTATCAGGAAGATACTGTTGCCTATCTACTGTTTCATTTCTCTCTGTCGTCTTTTACGATACTCACGGGATGCTATGGGGTTTTAGAGCTTCTAAGTAATAATACATAGGTAGGATGTAGTAAATAATTTTTATCATTATTTATATCATTACACCCATTATCAAGTTACTGCCTTAATTTCATGCTTTAGAAATATTTTCATCCAAGCAGATAAAGCTTTGTTGAATATGCTCGATGGTTTTATTTTCGGCTAAGCAAGCAGTGCCTGACTTAGTGCTCTACTAGCGTGCTAACAGCCCTAGGCTAACTATGAATGTGCGAGAAGAAAACTCCTAATAAATCGCACAGTCACGGTGAACATCCAAGCATCCGTATGATTTAGATAGTATCACAACTCCCAACAATTCTAAGTCTCTCCCAAACTCCCGCAAACCCCTCTCCCCCCACACGAAAGCAAACCCCCTCTCTCAGGCCAAGCTTTTTGGAGGCCAATTTAGCCTTTCCTTTCAAGAGACTACGAAACTGTATCATTCAATATATCAATGCCGATGATTCCAATGCTGGATGAGTCAGCATAGGGGAGTGCCCTAAAATTGAGGAGATACGAAAAAGGGGTTCTTTCCAGTAGTAACCGCGCAAACCTGTATCTTTTGAAGCTTAAACTAGACTTTACTTAGTTGTCCCTAATCAGAGATTTTGCTTATTAAAACTCGACTTCAGACACAAGTTTGATACAATATTCGATGACATGTTCAAATATTAGCACGCTCGGTGTAAAAGGCATCACCAGTGTTACAACCAGTAACATTAATATATAATTGATACACAGAAGAAACAGTGTAGGTGATAGCATGCAACCTTGTGGAACACTAGCATTAATAGACTCGTAGTCGGCGTATGAACCGTCTACTACGACCTTGTTGCTCTGATCTGCAAGAAAACTGATAATCCAATTGCAAAATTTCTTTGGAAGCCCATGGAAGAAAGCTTCTAAAGAGCGTTTTGTACCAAAGCCCATTGAAGGACTTCACTGTGTCTAAAGTAACGCCCAAGCAGTAGAGTCCAAGAGGGAGGCTCTTGGACCCTACTGCTTCCGCTCATCTATGAGTCAGGTAAATTAGAAGATTAAAAGTAGAACCACCAATGCGATCACTAATCAGCTGGGGTCCTCAAGGTACCTTATGAGCTGGCAGTTTATAATGGATTCCATTATTTTGGAGAACAAGGAGGCCATGGTGATAAGTCTATAATTGGACGGGTCTGAGCGGTCACCAGATGCCAAACATCTGGTCAACTAAACATGCTTTCCGTAAGTTCAGGATTACGCCTAGGGAGTAAGAGTATCGAAAAAGGCGCGTTAGACCTGATGCTAACTCTGGAGCACGCGTCTTTCGCACAAAAGAAGGGGCTTCATCAGACCCACTTGACTTGTTGACGTCCCGGGAGATGAGTACACTGAGCGCTGTTTAAATAGCACATTCAGCATGGAACAATGGTCCATGCTGAATGTGCTATCTAATTTATGCCGCGGGATGGTCATCGTTGTGTACACTCCGTCACTAAGAGCCGAATTGGACACAAAAAGAGAACCTTAAAGTTGAGTCGTTCTACCTACACAGAGATGAAACAGATTATTGACAGAAGTTCCGTTGGACAGCCTTGCGAAACCAACTCAATAAAATTAGAGGTAGAGAAGAGAGCTTAAAATATTTGTATGATGTTCAGCAATCAGCAAGTCAACGAAAGACGAAAGGTACTAAATAATTTAGTCTTATTTTTACAATCTATGTGTTTTTTTACCAAAAATAAAGAAAGAGTAACAAGTAAAATACTTGCGCTACGTACTCTATAATTTATTGAGAATATTATACCAAATTTTATTGTACATAAGTAGTGCTTCCAAAGGCAAGCTCAGCGCCCCCTCCAACCGTGCGCTCTAGGCTTTAGCCTGGTTAGCCTGTAGGTAAATCAGGCCATGTAAGCAAGTGATAAGTATATAAACAAAAATCAATTGTCGAATGTATGAATGATCAATTCATCATCATCATCATCATCATTACAGCCCTGATCAATGAGTGATCAATTGATCACTGACAATTGGATCCGATAAGTGGCGGTGGACGGATCGTTAGTCAGCATATAAAATCGTGATTAAAATGGGATCCAACTCCCTCATGTACCGTGTGTACCAGCCCACATAGATCTTAGAATTATTTTAGAAACGTATAAGAGTATAGAAAAGAGGTTGTATCGTTATAAGAGTAGTTTATGTGTATAAAGTCTGTATTATGAACTCTAAGTACCCTTTATTATTTTAGAGTTATTAATCAGAATATCAAAATTCTAGTATAGAACTAAAATAAATATTTTATAACAATTGAATCTGATTTTATCATTAAAGCTATACGGAACCTGTTTATTGCATGCCATCACTTGTTTATTACAGTTCTAACTGTTATTGTAGTATCACTCAAGGCCTGTTTTTGAACAATTTTGTATGTAAACTGCCTTCTAAAATTTATTTTTATAGCCTCTTTGTACACTTATAAATACTGTAGTTTTATTATTGCCGTCTATGAGAATGATATAAAACTATAAAAATAAATAACAGCCATAGTATCTACAATTTAAAGTTGTATAAGTGATAGATTCATTTTGCATGCGTTGCGTGTTTATATTTTGCTAATGAACGAGATTAACGTGTTATTAATATGTTCAAAAAAGAAACCGATTTGATTCAGTTAGAAGATCATGTTAAATCTAAATAAAAGTTATCCAACACTGTTCCCAAGGCATGGCTTTTCATCTTTTATACTTATCGCTAAAGAAAATTATATGTTGTTGAAAAAAAAACTGATATACAGAGTAAGTAATAAAAATATGCTATTACATAACTGAAACCAATGGGCGTATAACAAAATCCATAACATACATGGTACAGCTACTAAGACTATAAGACACTCGAAATACTGTTTAGGTTGTTAAGCAAATCGTCGCCATTTTAGAACATATAATAAACAAAATTAAAAATTTAATTTCAGGAATATTTTAAATTATTTTTAGCCTATACCATTATTTTCAGTTTGGCGCATGATCACTGTGCCCCAATATGCCTCCATTATCCATTAATTTAATTTTTTTATTCTTGCCTATACGACCAATAATTAGTTACCGTATTTAGTAATTTGTCCTTAAATTATTTGATTATTTTGCTGGCGCGGCAATTTTTTGATAGAAAACATACAAGTTGACCGTAAATCTAATTTTGCACTATCAATTCACCATCTATCACCGTTGAAACTGAACTCCAATGCGAGTATAATATTTTATTAATATTTTATTAATATTTTATATTTTTTATAAAGCATATTTTTTTACTCTGACATTAAATGTCGCAATTAAAATTCTTTTTGTTTTATATTTATTTGTAATTCCGTTCAAAACCGAATTTAGAACGCTTATCTTCTTATCTTTAAAAGTTATTTATAAGACAATATCTGTAGTGTAATAGTTTCCTCGCACACCAAATAACAGCTGTAATGCAGCTGTTATACAGGCTCTTTTATGCAGCTACTGTGTAGCGCTACTAACGCATAAAGCTGTATAATTTGTGTAATTTTTTTACTTATAAGAGCTGTATAAGGGCTTATATATTATAAAGAGATCGAGACGACCGTAGTGGCGCACAAATATCATGGCGTCCTGTGTCCGCCCAACTGAGTGAGAGTGGTTGTGTCCGGTCACCTTCACGCCGAAACTCTTTTAAGCACTAAGCATGTTTAATCTACATACAGCCAGCTGTATATCATTATAGACTTCAAAATAAAAATCAGTTGAAGTAGAAGTGTTTTTCCACGTTTTAATACATAATTGTTGCCATTAAGACTCGTTGCCATTTTTGTTGCCGTAGATATGAGTTCACTGAATGTGGTTCAATATTTGTGTTATGTCGGGTTTTACTTGAGACGTAGCAACCATAGAATACTATAATACATACATAATAGAATGGGGGAGTGGGCGGAGCCCGCGTAGCCACTAAAATGTCATTAACATGTCAATTCACACGTATAAATGTCAACACGAGAATGTGTTTTGACGTTTCAATCGTTTCCAAATTTCGCAAACAAATTATTTAGAAAATGCCAAATTGCACCCTATTTACAAGTGTATGTATTAAAATTTAACGATTTTTTAACCAAAAGTCTAAAATGTGTAAATTTACTCAGTCTGTCAACACAGCGAATTAGGTTTGTAGTAGTAGTAGTATACGTCGTAATTGCTTGTATGTGTGCCCCGACGACGCCAATCTTCGTACAAAATAAGGTTGACCGGTAAGTAGGTATGACTTTTTAAATGGTTATTTTTATGGGTTTTTTATCATGTCAAAACAAATTATATTTAAATCAACAAGAACACACCTAAACAAAAAAGCTTTAAAGTTTATCTTTAAATATACTTGGGTCGCAGTGTTTTTAGAATTATCGTCGATAACAGGTGTCCTACTCTACGACATAGGCTAGGCGTGCGGGCAAGTGTGCCGTCGCCTTTGAAGGACGCCGCCAAAAGACACTGCTGTGGACGAAAATAATCTCATATCGTGATAGTTTGCACTGCGTAGCAATGTTGCTTTTTAATGTTCAATTATTCAAATTCATTGAAACATTGACCTAGTTACCTAATTCTACATAGAGTTCAAATTAGCACAAATTTAAAACGCTACTTTTTGACCTTAGTACTGGGCCGATTTCGTTTACTTTTTGTATTTATTTATTTATTTATTCGGAAATCCCTCGGTTAACAAAAAACGAAGTAGGTAGAAAACAATTAAGCAATAGGAAACCATTTATGGATCTTTGCGAATAGTGGCACTATATAAATAATTGCATGCGGTGAGTTACCGATAGCTAATAGGACACTGTCGCACCAACCGTAAGCTTAGCTAGGTAACATCGTGCATTAGATCAGTGTTCCGCAAAATTTTTGTGTTCAAGGTACACCTACGAAAACGAAAAAAATTTGACGTACACCACAAATTAAAAAAAACAGTTTTTAAGTAATATTAATCAACTTTTATTATTAATCAACAAACCTAAACTTTAAATTTCAGAAAAGGTATTTAATGCGAAACATGAGACTGTTTAATTGAGCATGGACGGTCTAAATTTGACAAGACTGCTCTCATTTCTTCGTCGATCGTCCTTGCATTCCCTTTTTTTGGTTTTTATTGTGGTAAGAGTCGAAGATCCTAATTCACTCAAACAAGTCGTTGCAAACGGCAAAAGTATTGCAATAGCATGCTTAAAAAGCAGATGATATTCATTTTTCACACATATCCAAAAATGTTCTAAATCAGTTTTAAAAAAATTTAATTTTAATGTGCAATCCGTTTTCATTTCCATCAGTTCTTCCTGCTCATTTATTGGTAAGTGGCCGAAAGGAATGTTCTCGGAGAATGGATTTCGAACCTAGTCCATAGGTTGCAGATCACGCTTAGGGAAATAGAAATTCATTTTCTCTGCAAGAAGCTTTAAGTGTTTGACAATCAAAGCCTGCACCCTTTTTTCTGGATCAGCTGCCATGACATTTGGGAACATTTCATTATTACCATTCGTAGCGAGACTGATCCATAGTTCCAATTTAGCGCGAAAGCTTTCAATTTTATCCGACGATGTCAAAATATTGGAATTTCTGCCTTGCATTTTTTTATTGAGCTCATTTAAGTGAGCAAATATATCCGTCAGATAGGCAAGTTTTGCTAGCCATTCTTCTTTTTTTAAATAAATGTGTATAATCTGAACCCTGGGACTGCAAAAACATCTCAGTCTCATTTTTCAACTCATAAATTCGGGAAAGTACTTTGCCGCGAGAAAGCCATCGTACCTCTGTATGAAACAAAAGCGACTGATGATCTGCCCCCATTTCTTGACACAGTGCATTAAAAAGAAGCGAGTTCAGCGGTCGCGACTTGATGTAATTGACGATTTTGATAATTTCTGGAAGAACGCGCAATAGATCGTCAGGCAGAGACTTCGTCATAAGAGCTTCCTTATGTAAAAAAAACAATTCTGTTTTTGAACATTAATATTTTTTTCAGCACCTTAGCTATAAAGCCTTTAACCTTCCTGTCATAGCCGCTGCGCCGTCTGAGCAAACACTTATACAGTTATGCCATTCCAAATTATGCTCATTGAAAAATTCGTCCGTTACTTTAAATATTTCTTCACCAGTTGTATGGCTAGGTAGTGGCAGACAAAATAAAAAGTCCTCTTTTAATTCACATACATCAATGTATCTAACATTTGAGAAGAGATGCGCATGACCTCTGATGTCAGTGGACTCATCAACTTGTAGCGCAAAAACTCCACTAACTCTCAATTTTTCAATCAACGTCGATTTAATGTCATTAGACATGTCATTGATTAGACGTGAAATCGTTTCTGCCGATGCAGGTATTTTTGATCATTGCAATTTCTTTAGCAGCTTTTTGGCTAATCATTATCTTGACAATTTCTTTGCAGACAGGTAAAACTACAGTTTCAGCAAGAGAGTGCGGCTTTTTAGCTTTAACTAACATATTAGCGATTACGTAGCTTGCTTTTTGTGCTTTGTATGAGGTTTTGAAAGACGAACTCATGAGATTTACCTGCTTCTTCGATTGGTCCTTCAAACGTTGAAAATAGGTTTTGTCTTTTTGGGGTACTGACGGGTGTTTAGTAGTTAAATGTCGTATTAGTTTACTGGGCACCATCGAATTATTACCCAACGTTTCTCCGCAAACAAGACATTTTGGGGTAGGACAAGATTCGTCTCCGCAATATGTAAAACCGTAATTTATGTAGCTTTCGTCATATTTTCGATGAACAATTTTGGGTTTCCTTTTCATTGACTCTTTTTCTTCTTCATTACCTTTACCTGACAAACTTGCACTACGGTTAATGAATTTATCCATTATTTTAACACTTATTTTACGCTTAGAATAATAAGCATAACAATACGCCACGAAACAAAAGCGTGCGGTGAATTTAAACGGCGCACTCGTACTCATATGGACAGACTGGTGAGCCAGAGAGTTCAGGTAGCGGGGCGGAGAGCCTCCGTACCCGCTTCCCGCGACGCGCCAGCCGCCGCCGCCCGCGCCTAACGAAACCACAGAATTAGATGAACGGAACAAAACGCCTCGCTCGTGCGCTCGCGTGATTTGTGTAGGTATTTTACTTACCCTTACTTACTTGCTAAAAATAATTTTATAAGATAACCCTATTTTTCCACGGCACACCAACTAATGATCACGGTACACCAGTGTGCCGCGGTACACACTTTGCGGAACACTGCATTAGATAACTAAACATTACAGATTAACAAAAGCAAGAAAATAAAAAAGAAATAAAAAGATCATCAGCTGGGGTCGAAAAAAGGCTAGCTCAGAACTCGTCTCGCCGAAATGGTACTTGTGTTGAATAGATTTAAGTTAAATAATTGGGATACAGATTAAAATTCTTGCTTGCACGGTACATATAACTATTCTGCCTATAATTAGTCAGATAGTGGGACCTTTCGTCTAATATTTTTTTGGAGTTTTGATATTTAATTTCTCAAGTACATCTGGACAGTCAATCTCGCTTGAAGCTATCTTAAGTAGAAAGGTAATATCTGATATTTGCCTTCGCATCTAGAGTGGTAAGAGATGAAACTTTCTACACTTATCATAATATAGGTTAGAGTTGTAGTGGTCATTTACTCGATAGCTAAGGTGCTTAATGAATTTCATCTGGATACGTTCAATTCGAGATATATAGGTTTTATATTGGGGGTTCGATATCTGTGATGCATATTCCAAAATACTTCTTACGTAACAATAATACAAAATTTTCAAGGTTTTAATTTGTTTAATGTTTTTAGAGCTACGCATCACAAACCCTAAGGCTCTGGAAGACCGGCCAATGATATTTTCGATATGTTTATCGAACAGAAGTTTCGAGTCATGTATAACTCCCAAGTCGCGTATGGAGCACTCTCTGGACAACGATTAGCCTCGAATCTGGTAATCGTACAGCAATTTATTGGATTTAAGGCTAAATGTGACAACTTAGAATTTTATAGGGTTGAGATCGAGATGGTTACAGGTACTTTTTAGGTTTTTCAAGTCATTTTGTGAACTTCTGCGTCTTTTAATGAAGAAATATTTGAAAAAAAAATTCTTGTCATCTGCGAAACATAATAGACGAGAGTTACACAGACAGTTGTAGATATCATTGACAAAGATAGCGAAGAGTAAAGGTGCTAGTAGCGAGCCCTGTGGAACAGAAACAGAAACTTTTTTATTCAATGTAGATTGTAACAATACTTATTGAAAGTCAATTTTTTAAATTACCACTGGTTTGCAAAAAAAACTCTGTCCTGGGAAGAACCAGCAAGAAACCCAGCGGGACTATTTTTTTCCAATAATAGCTTACAATCATGTTTATAATTAACAACACAAGACAAATTAGAAATAGCTTGGTAGCGATCACCCTTCCCAGGGGTTATTATCATCCATAAATTCCTTAATATTATAATAACCCTTTTTATACAAACTTAGTTTAAAAACATTTTTCAATTTTGTGTATGACAAATTTTGTATATTTTCTGGGATTTTGTTGTAAAAGTGTATACATCGCCCCAAGAAAGATTAACTGACTCGGTGGAGTCGAGTAATTGATACTACTAGCTTGTGTCTGCTCCTGGTATTTACAGAATGAATATCACTTTTTTCGCAAACCTACTTTTATTTTTGTGTACGTACATTACATTTTCATAAATGTATTGAGAGGCCAGAGTTAATATATTGATTTCCTTAAACTTTTGTCTCAGTGACTCTTTTGGTTTTAAATAATATATTGCTCTAATGGCCCTCTTCTGCAAAATAAATATAATTTCAGTGTCAGTCGCGTGTCCCCATAGCAAAACACCATACGATATAATGCTATGGAAATAACTAAAGTAAACTATTCTAGCTGTTTCAACACTGGTAAGAGTTCTAATCTTAATTGCTCACAATTCTCTAGCTAGTTGATATGGGGGAGCCATTGAAGCTTTGCCTTATTCCAAGAATAATGGTGTATCAAACTCATTTCCTCCCCATTTAAAATTACATTAGTATTATGGAAATAACTAAAGTAAACTATTCTAGCTGTTTCAACACTGGTAAGAGTTCTAATCTTTTTATAGCATATGCTGCAGAACTAAGTCTGCTAGCTAGTTTTGATATATAGGGGAGCCATTGAAGCTTTGCGTCCAGTGTGATCCCAAGAAAAATGGTGGTATTAACAAGACTCAGTTCCTCACCATTTATTGACATGTTTAACATTAGGAGTGACGAATTTCATAAATTTATTTTTAGTTTCATTCAAATGCAAATTATTAACTTTAGACCAATTGACTAACTTAGCTATAGCATTATTTACTTCGTCGTAATTTAATAACTGTCGTTTTAATTTGAAAATTAATGAAGTATCATCAGCAAATAATACTATATCATGGTTATCCCCTACTATGTAAGGTAAGTCATTAATGTATACAAGAAACAGAAAGGGGCCGAGAATTGAGCCCTGAGGCACGCCCATTTGTACAATCGACTCGGAAGATCTCATACTATTGATGACAACTTTTTACGTTCTGTCACTTAAATATGAAATAATTAATTTAAGAGCATCGCTTCTTACACCGTAGTGTTGAAGTTTCCTGATTAATGTTTAATGGTGAACACAATCGAATGCTTTGGATAGGTCACAGAACACACCCAAAGCATCCTGTGAATTCTCCCATGCATTAAATATATATTTATTCAGCTCAACACCAGCATCAGTTGTCGAGCGACCCCTTGTGAAACCAAATTGATTTAATGAAGTAAATTATTTACATTAAAAAAATTTAACATTTGATCAAGAATTAATTTTTTCAAAAATTTTACTAAGTGTTAGCAGTACAGAAATAGGTCTAAAATTAGCGGGGTCCAATGTACTACCAGATTTAAAGAAAGGTATTACTTTACTATGCTTCATTAAATAAGGAAACACACCAGATTCGATACTAGTATTAAAAATAATAGATAGTTGAGGTGCGATTATATCTATTATAGACGCAATAACTTTAACGGAAACCCCCCACAGATCGGCGGGTCTCTTAATATCAATAGTCTTAAAATATTTTACAATATCTTTTGAGACACTATATGAAATGTAAAATTCTTTGTACACACATTTACATTTTGTTTAAGTAATGATTCGGCGACAGCAGGAGAAGAATTCATTGACTTACTGGTTAAGATCGGAATATCAGTAAAATATTTCTCAAAAACCATTGCAACACCACTATAATCATAGGGATCATAGGGATCTTAACCCTCCTAGGAATGTAATTATTTACCACTACGAGGCACAGAGCTCAAAATAATTATACGTAAAAAAGATATATAAATAATTAAGCATTATTTAATAAGCGAGAGAGTAAGCGAAAAAATAAAACAAATAAATATGCAGGTATAAACTAAATAATAAGCGGTCGACGGAATCGATGTTAAACGGCACAAATAACCGGTTTGGCAAGTGCGAGTCCAAGCAAACATTAACACAATAGGGAAGGCACGTAGGTCAGAGTTGCGTAGTAATTTTATGTCATAGCAAAATACAAAAGCTAGTAATGCTAATAGAATTAAGTTATATAAAAATAAGGACTTAAAGTTGATTAGGCAATTTTGCATTTAAGCAATCACTTCCTTTTTTGTACAATAAAAGTATGACTGGTATCGTTTTTGCGCACATGAATTTTGCCGAACTTCACCCACACATAGCTGTAGTTTTTCTCTTTAGCGAGGGCCTTCACCTTTGTCAGCAATTATTTAAAATGGGGTGTTAGGTGGTCGTTTACAAAAATGTGGTTCTTGCTTCCTGTGAATCCTATGTCCTTATAGTCAACCAAATCTAAGAAATACATTTTGACAGCTGTCAGACTTATTGCATTTTTTTTTGCGCCCGAAGCAATTAAAGGGCTACCCTATACGTAGGGAGGCGGAAAATGCATTACGCATACCACGATAGCCGGTCTATCGTGGTTATGAGGGGCTCACTGTCCTACCGGGGACCCTAAGTGATACCCTCTAAAAACCGCCTTTGGGGACAGGCAGCCGGCTGATTAAGCTGTATTGTGCCTTATCATGAGCGACCCTCTTTTGGGAAAAGAGGGCGCAGGCGGCTAAGAGCCGCTGAGGGAGTGCCTACGAAGGCAAATTAATGTTAGTTAATACAATAATTAATTTAATTAGAGTTGGCCTGAGCCGCCAGGAGACAGTTCAGGTCGTTTGACAGTTTATAGGCGGGTCCGAGAGAAAGTTTCTCGGCCTGCGGACACAGACTTATTGCACCAAGCATGCCAACCAAAATATGGGAACGTACAATATTCGATTCTTAAAAAAATCGATATCAATTATTTAGAGTTGGTAATCATTTACAGTTTGGTTTGAATAATGCCAGAATAAATTAAAAACGGATAATTTAAAACACAAGATTTATCCGTTTCTTCGTATTTGTTGTTACTTCTCATTTCTATAGGCACAGTTACAAAAATTTAATCTTGAAACTAGATTAAAAATAAATTTGTTCAATCACTTTCAGTACAACTAGTAGAGATGTCATTTTTTATATTAATTATTATTTGATTTTCAATAACGCAGTCAAAATTATCATCCATAATCCTTTTTTTATTTTTTCTACCACTTTTGCGCAATCATGCTTTTTGACATGGGCACATGCTTCAACGAATATATTATATTTTATAGCATTGGGTGACAATCACACAGTCCATCTGATGGTAAGTGGATGCTATGGCCCATAGACATACATATTTATCCTCAAGTGATAATCACAATACAAATGCGTTGTCACCCCCGAGGACTAAGATGGAATACCTCGATTCCAGTAAAAAGGGTCTCCGGTTCTCTACACCCACCACACGAAACGCAGCAGCATTACGCTGATATTTTACGCTGATGTTCTGTGAGAGCGTGGTCCTTCCCCGGTTGAGCCGACCCATTCGTGCTACAACTATAATATAGATGTAGCGTGGCTGTACCACGTACAAAAAGTTATTATAGAAGAAACAGTCCAAAAAGTTAAAGCCTAGTCACAAAATAAGAAGACAAACACAAAATTACAAAATTACGCACAGTTAGCTCTCGAAACAGAAACAGAAACTTTTTTATAATAACCCTCTTTATACAAACTTAGTTTAATAAAGTTTTTGAACTTTGTGTACTTACGTCAAATTTTGTATATTTTCTGGGATTTTGTTATAAAAGCGTACAATAATGAATTACTGACTATGTAGAGTCGAGTAACTGGTACCAAAATGGCGGGATATTGAAATTATGTAGTGGTTATTTTAGCACGGCCGTGTATATGAGTTTTTATGCCTACACAAATTTACTTTGACAAAGTAAAAAAAAACTTGTTTTATTCTTGATTCATGTAATTTAAGGAATTTTGGAAATAAAAATTAAATTAAACAAATAATACATTAAAAAAATTAATGATTCGATTATTTGAAAATTTTTGCCGATTATTTGAATATTTTGCCGATTATTCGCATAACAATGAATTTTAATCATCCAAAAACTACGGTAATATACATAGCGACATATCATTTAAACGACGTCAAGTAAAAAAAAGCTCGAATCGTACTGGTTATTTTTAAAATGTTGCTTTGTTTGAAAAAATCAAATTTAAATTAGTTATAAAAAACTATAAACAATGTAATGAAATATAGATAACTTCATAATTCTTCGGATTTACGTAAAAGGTTATTTTAAATCGTGTGAGTACGCTGGTGCAAAGTTATTGCGGAATGATTAATGTGAAACGTCAAAAGGTATTTCTTAGATTTGGTTGACTATAGCATATAATTCATCTTCGCGCGAGCTGTTGCAATGAAATCTTTTTTTGTGTATCGATTTATATATCGAACAATTATCAATTTATCTCTCGAGTTATGCGAGGGAACTCGGGCGATATAATCTGTTTGGGATTTGGGGACGTCGAAACCGATGGCTTTGTAGAGAGCTTCATGAATCTGAAATAGGTTCTCACCAGTTTTAATAGGCACACCCTTGATCTCAATATATTTCAGCCGAGATCACTGCTCCTTAAGTAAAATTTCATGGTGGATGCGATCAAAATCAACGCACGTTATGGCGAGATTGTCCTTGATATGATGATCTCTGATACGTTTTCCTCCGTTGTTGCAATTCTGGCGTCGAACTCGTCCAATCGCTTGTTGTTTACATTACAAGCGTCTTTAAGCTCCTCCAGTTTGCACTTGATGGTCTTGACATCTTCCAGCAATTCTGGTGTATAGTTAACCCTACTTTTAATGTAACGGATCTCTTTGAATATGACTTCGTTGATCGATAGTTCATTTTTTGTATTCTTGCACTGAGCACATCTCCATGCCGATTTTTTGTCTTGATTGAATCTACGATAGCATTTTCTTCCAGGCCAACGCGGCCGTAGCAGAGATGGTTTTGCAACCATAGCACGATACACAATCATTAACAGTTTCTTGGCAAATTGCACACTGCATGGTTATTTAGATTAGCAATATTGAAGATCTATTTTTAGAAACACAATTTTGAACGTAAAGCACTAGTTGATGATAAAGCTTTACGCGTTAACTGCAGTGAACGTGTCCACTTTGCGCGGTGACTGACCGCGAACTGTGTATATCGTCAGCAAAGTCGATAACAAGTATGTGGTTTCATTTATTGCTTATATGTGGTATCCATTCTGTATAATTTATGTTGTAAAATATCATACAAATTAGATAATATCTTCTATTTACACTTTCGTTCACTAAATTATAAAATTGTACTTTTATTCATGACAGAATAAATAAGTTAACCTGTTACGGCCCTCAGTTGCCCCGACAGAAGTCGACTGGGCTAGGGCCCATAGTAACCCAACTCGACGGGCAACCCGAGGGTTCGGGCCCAAATGACCGATGGGTAATTATTATGTAATGGCTGGACAAGCAACCACAAACTTACCGAGTACCGGAGGTAGGGTCGACTACAAGGTACCGTCAGGGGCAAGTAAATGGTAAGTGTGAGTGGTGTAAAAAGGTGTGTAATGTAACCTGACGTCACTGATGTAATCGGCTAGCAGACCCACATGCGCTGCCCTGCTCCACAAGGTGCAATCACTCCAGTGGGCGTTCATCGTTATCTGAACTCAAGTCTAACGTCACTTAGCACAAAACTAAAATCAAAGAGAAACGCGATCTCCTCCCGGATCACAAAGTTTAGCGTTCCACCCGACAAAGCAAAAATTCCTTCGTACGATATTAAAACACCACACAAGCAACTCGTCGACGCAAATTCATGGCAATTGAAGTTAAATTAATCACTAGAACTCAAGGAAGGCCTCGTTGTCACGTGTACGAACAAAATAAGACAACGCAAAAGGGCGCGGCCTAACGATTCTAACTTAACTTCCCGGAATCTAACCAACACGGCCGTCGCGGACAATAGATTATTCTAGACTAATTGGCGCGGCCGCAGGCCGCAAAACGAATGCCGCCGGCGTAAGCCGTCAAACCGGTTTTTCGCCCGAGACGAGCGTTTTTGCAAGTTTTGAGTTGTTACGATTTGACCTAAGCGTAACCTAAAAACCTCCTTAATTACTTTACTTACTTATCCAATCGAACATGTACGGAAACGATGGGATTTTCCTCACAAAGAAAAATTCTATTCCGTTCTATAAAGTGTGCACATTCACGACACAACTAAAATCAAATTTAACTTAGCATTTTTATTCAAAGCTCACCCAAACAGAACAGATGACTTTTTTGATTCTCTCTAACACAGTGCTGCCAACCAGTCAATTTCAATTTCTTGATGTCGCGCAAGGAATTGACAGTTGTCAACTAGTGTCACCAACATGTTTAATATAGACAATCATTCATTTCTAGTGACCGAATCATTCTAATATATTTCGTCACGCTTACCGGTACATTCAGATCGATTCAAATGAATCGTTTCGGGCTCCAATACTCTGTGAGTCTTTGAGATCTATTGGGAACCGAAAATTTTCTATTTGAGATTTATAATAGCGCCATCTACTACATGCTATAGGTAATAAAGTCATTTTGTCGTACCAAAACTTATTAACTTTCAATGTGGTAAGTACAATCGACGCTACATAGTATAAACCGGAGTAATAGTGTTCTGTGGTATAAACACAAAAATCTCAAGTGGTTCAATTGATTTGATATTGATTGATATCTTTATTCAATATTACTATATATTTTATATATTTAATAGATTTGTTTATTCTTAAAATTCATACCTAAGAATACCCAATGTCATCTTACTTTACATGTCTAAAAATAAGGATTTTAATATTTATTTTTGGTTGTCACATGTATAGTTTAATATTATATCTAATATTATAAGTAAGTAATCACTGATTCGATGTTTTAAAATAATACATCGAGTGTATCAATAATTTTCCTTAGACTATACTATGGTCTAAGTGTAGACAGAGAATGCTAATATGCATTCTCTGTCTAGACCCGTAGAGTAATTTTCCAAAATATCGGAGCGATTCGATGCATCGATGTATATCGAATAGCCCTAACAAGCATCCAAGCCAAAATCCTAATTAATAAAAAAGTGCTTAACTGCTTAAAAGTTTAAAAGTTCAGTCAAATTGCAAAAACAAAACCGTATAAAAAAGTTGATAAAAATTGCTTTTGATAAGAAAGAAAACAACATACATGGAAAACAAGATGAGTGAAGTAAGTGCTATGATTTTGGACATAAAGAGCTTTGTGTATTTTAAGTGATATATGGACATACTGTAATAATATTTTGCGAAGGTATTTACAGGTGACGTATGGCAAAATAATGCTTTCAAAACTGATGATAGAGAAGCTGACGCGATACAAGATAGAAAAACCAAAATTAATTCTGAACATAAATTATCCCGGTAATTGAATTTACATTAACCTATTTTTTTAAAGGGTAGGATGACAAATGAGCACACAGTCCACCTGATGGTAAGTGGTTGCTGTGGCCCATAGACATTTACATCTATCCTCGATTACGAATCAAAATGCAGATGCGTTGTCACCCATGAGGACTAAGATGGAAAGTATTGTTTCCAGTAAAAAGGGTCTCCGGTTCTCTACACTCACAATACAAAACACAGCAGCATTAAGCTACTATTTGACGCTGGTATTCTGTGAGAGTGTGGTCCTTCCCCGGTCATGCCGACCCATTTGTACTACAACTACACTACTAATATAATGGCAGCATGGCTCTACCACATATTATTTTATATCTCATATTATTAGTTCTAACAATTCAAACTTTATTTAAATACTATTTTTTATATATTTTCTTATTGTTTCTTCATTCATTTTGTGAATTATGCACATACTTGACACATTTATAACTTTTCTTGTATCAAAAGATTAATGCATTACTACCCATCATCCTTTCTATAACTTTTTTTTTACTTTTTATAAGTCAGTGCTTGACCACAATCCCACCTGGTGGTAATTGGTGATGCAGCCTTAGATAGTAAATCACATGAATGGTAAAGCGCGTCTTAGCATAACAAATGCCTATTCACTCTTGCCTTGAAGATGCCCAGATTGTATTCGGACGAAAAGATAGATGCCGGCAAATTAATCCACTCCTTTAATGTATGCATTAAAAATGTTGAAGAACTCCTGGAAATCGACAACAAAGGGATGAGGACCCGCCGACCGCCTGGTTGTCCGATGGTGCATAAGGAGAGGGAGGAATTAAAGTGTGCAACAACTAACTACTAAATAACACACTATTAAAGTCCCCTGCTAAACATAGATTGCCTTCCTATGCCCCATTTACACTCAGCCACTGCTCCTGTAGTATGTTAAATACTTCTGCCTCAATAACGACGCAAATGGGTGTTTAAACTCAGCCTTTATACTTCTTTATTGATTAACTTGCAACAAGGACTGCTGTCGAGGTTGTTCAGTATATGTAGCTACTATGTGCAATTTATGGTTTTTTTCGTGAGGATCCCATATTACCTGCTCAATTTCATAAAGTTCTAAAAGTTTAATTGTTTTATCATTACTAAATATCATTAATAAAGAAATGAATTGCCATTTTTAAACAACAATTTCTTTCTCGGGCACACTTTGGTGGCAAGTGAGTGAGAATGTAAACACTCTCTCCCAGTCCGGCTGCCGGTCCTTTGACATCCGTGCGAAAAACCGCCAATCGAGGGAGCCCCGGGCAGTGGCAGCGGCATGGGCAGTGACATGCGAATAGTCTATTTACATACACACTCTGCCCACTTCCCTGCTCACTTCCGTACCCAACAAGGCTGAGTGTAAATGGGACATTACAGGTGATTTTACCATACTTACTACACATGCTAATTTAGATATATGAGGGCCTCTCTGGAGCTTTCACGTCAATAGTAATTTCAAGAGCAACAGTGGTATTCAGACTCACATCTTCCCATTTAAAAACACCTTAGTACAGTCATACCTCAACTTACGCTACCCCATTATACGCCAATTCGGAGATACGCGGTTTTTCATTTGCAAGTTTGAATGTGTTACTCGTTGAATTGTTTCACGTACGCAATACACATTTGGTTTACGACAAGCTCGGATGTGTTCCTCGTGGAATTATTGTATGTATGTAGTGCACATTATTGTTTTATTTTAAATTATGTGATCCAAAAGATCAAAAATGAATATTTTGAACCTAACAAGAAAACATGATAAACACTTTCTTAGGAGTGTAAGCTAAATATTATCAAAGACTGAATTGAAAATATAAATTTGTAAATTGGCAAAAAAATTTGACCTACTTGAATCAATACTCCGAACAATTATAAAAAGTAAAGAAAAAGCTGTGAAAGGCTCTCAATCTTTGAATTCAAGCATCATTTGTAATCATCACAGTATTATCCTTCAAATGGAAACAATGTTACAATTATGGTGTGATAATCAAGATTAAAAATTGTCCTGACCGAAACACTAAACCACCGTTTTTTATTCTAGTAGTAATTTCCGATTTAAAGTTCCGATTTCGCAAACTATACGTATTTATATGCAAAACTGAACCCAAACTTACGCGAATTCGACTTACACGGCTATAGCTTGGTCCCACCTATTGCGTAAGTCTGGGGTGTTACTTTATTTGAATGTTTGGTATTAGGTATTATAAATTTAATAAATTTTGTTTTATTGCCATTTAAAAGCAGGTTGGCAATCGTAGTTTTTTATAATTTTGTGTTGTTATCAGGTAGCTGCCCATCTCCTGTTACATTATCTCATTGTCGCCTCTGACAAAACCTACAGGACCAAACAGGGTTATGGATATCTGGAGTCTTACACCCCTACTTATTTACATTAATAACTTTAACTTTAACATTAATGAAATACACACTGATGAATATAAATTTTGAGTTATTGGTTTTTGTAAATTTTTCTTTCTTAATGTTAGTTTTATTTTATACTAGCTGTG